GAGGAAGGGGGTTTTGTCAGGTTTTGGCGGGAAGACTTTTGGTGAGACTGTTGGCTGGAATCCTGAAAAGTGAAGGGGGCTTTACCTCAGACAAGGTTAGAAATTGAGGAGTTAGAATTTTTAGTTACAATTGCGTTAAGGGTTGTTTCTCCATGTTTTTTTTTCAAACTGTCAATTGTGCGTGAAGAAATTTACTTTATTTTAATATCTTTCACAAAGGTTATTTATTTGTTTACTGTTGTTTTGTTTCAATCAAACCATTGACCGTTGGCCTTCTATCACTTGCCTATACACACAAAGTTTTTGTCTATTTTCCCCTTCTGTATTTAGACAAGGGTGAGAGTTTTTTCCTCAATCATCTCCTAGTTTCCCAGAGGGATGTTGAGGAAGAGAGAAACCAGTGTGTGGTGAAATAGGGTGGCAGCAAGGAGATCTAATTTTTCAGTTGTTGTTCACCCATGGGTTACCTCAGAAATGAAGTATCTCAGAGGTTGGTTTGAACCTGAGGACATATTTTCTCTTATTACATCAGGAGATGGTGAATTATAGTCCTGCTTAGGCACAAAGCCAGCTCTGTGACATTGGGCCAGTCCTCCTCTCTCAGACCTAGGAAGAAGGTGGCAATGGTAAATCACTTCTGAAAATGATACTAAGAAAATTGCAGGGAATGGTCAGGCAGTCACCAGGAGTCAAGGCTGACAGGTAGTCTTCATTTAGTAACTGCTCTTTTATTGGGACTGGCAACTTGACTGTTAACAAAGTGATTACTAAGCGAAACTGTGACAATCCTTATGAGCTTACTTTAGCTTTCCTTTCCTTTCCAAAACTGCAAAGGTCATGCATGCAAAGATTTGTTGTAAAGTTATTTTTTCATCATCGTTATAACTACGAACAATCACTAAATTAGGCAGTTGCTAAATGAGGATTATCTGTGCAAGCACACAGAAAAGCTCACTTGTTATTCCTTGAGAAATGTGGAAGCCTCTCAGTTTAAATAAATCAAAATTATCTAAATAATCCAATGCTGAAAAGATCAGCAGTATTTTGCATGCCAAGACAATTAGACCAGAGGTCCCCAACCTTTGGGCCGTGGCCCATTACCAGGCCGTGGCCTCTTGACCACCAGGCCATGTGAACAGTTGGGCAGTGCATACGCATGTGAGCATGCTCATTCCCCCTTGTGCCACCAGTGCCGCGAATGTTGTGTGGCGTTGGCAGCACTGCTAGTATCACGCAGGCAGTGGTGTTGCCATGAACCTTGTGTGGATGGAGGCAGCCCCACAAGTGGGCTGTGGCACGAACCTCATGTGGGATAGTGGTGCAATTGTCATGTTGGTGGTAGCACTGCTGCAAGCCTGGCGGCGGTGGCACAACACTCACACAGGCACTGGTGTCGCTGAAAGCCTCGCATGCATGCTCGCAGCCCCATTTGCATAGTGTGCATGCTCGCAGCCTGTTTGTGCGCACGTACGCACATATGGCCACATTCACATTTGTGCATACACATGTAAGGCGCCTGCCCCTCCCTTTCCCACTGGGCCACTAACCCAAAAAGGTTGGACACCCCTAAATTAGACAGTTTCCCTACCACTCCATGCCATTACTCTGCTGAACAGCTAATTCTTAAGAGTACTGTGTAATGTTTATGTATATTTACCCATGAAGTGTAGTTATACGATTATCTTTTTTTCCCCAAGTTTTTTATTAATTTTCCAATATTACATTTATATATTTGAAAAGTAGCGTGGCGGTTGAGCACCGTAATTCTATTACATTTGAATATCATCAGTACAAATCTCAAAATATTACAACAACTAATTCCCTCTCTTTCCCCTGTAAGATCTACTGTCATATTCAGATCAATACAGTTCTTATTCTATCAATCAAAAAAAAAAAATACCTTTCTAGTATTCATCAATAATCTTCAGTCTATACATATCTTAATTAATTTGACATTCCATCTTTTAGACAATAATAAGTTTTTCTTAACTTTAATTTCGCATTGATATTTAAATTTAACGTTTAATCTTTATCATTTCCGGATTTTAAATGATCCCAATTTCTCAGTCTTCTATCTTATATTTAGGACTAATAATTTTTTTCTTTTCCTCTTTCTACTTCCTTCCTTCCTTTCCAGAAAAAGAGAAAAAAAAAATAAACCATCAGCATTTATACCACAAACCAATATACGAATTTAATTATTAGTATTTATACTTCTAAGTTTTATTTAACCTGTGTCTCAACTCATGACAATATCTTAAATTCAAGTCTTAGTTATCTGTAAGCATTCAAACTTTTAGCAAATCAGTGACCTGGTGATTAATTTTCCCTTAATATTTTAATTTAACGTTTAATATTTTTTTTCCAAATTTTAATTAAGCACAATTCCTTTATCACAATTCCTCATAGAATCTAATATTTAAAATACAAACCTTATATATAAATTCTATCATATATCTTAACAAACTAATAAGACAATATAACATTCTTATTTCGATATTTATATTTCTAGATTTTATAAAACCAATTTTTTTATCTCAAATCATTACAATATCTTATGTTCAAAATACATATTCTATCCATTTAGATATATTCTATTTTAGATCTCATGTTTAGATCAAAACCCCAATCCCTTTCAGTCTTATTCTAACTTTTTTCCTCTGCCAAATCATCTTTCATATCTTTGCTTTTAAATCATCAAAAAGATCTCCTTGTATTGTTGTGACTATTGTTTGACACTGATAAGGGCGTTCAGTTGCTATTTTCTTAAGCGGGCTAGCTGATTTAACAGGTCATCTCTTTGTTTTTCCAGTTCGATGCAGTTGTCCCAAAGTATTTATCTTCTCTTTCATCTGTTTTTCTTTTTTATCTTCAAATTCCTTCTGGTTTATAAGAAAAGTCCTTTTCTTGTTCTCTATTATCAGTTTCCTTTTTGTGTTTTCCACTGTTTGTATTTGTTGAGTATCTAAGTCTTCTGTCATAGCATTTGGTTGTTTCCCTTTCTCTATAGAATTCTGCATAGATGATTCTTTAGTTGAAGTCATAGTTTGAGCTTGCATATAGAGAGTTTGGATAATTGCTTTTAACATATAAAGAATTTGTTCCTGTACTTCCTCTGTGGGAGAAATCCATTCCTGTTCTTCTTCCATTGTAGTGTATTAAACTAAACAAAAAAACTTACAATCAGAAAGTCCACCAAGTAAAGAGCTGAGCTGAGTTTCTTGCAGATGGTGCTTCAAGGTTGCTTTATATCTTATCTATTTTCAAGGCTTTCAATGAGTCTCTCTTAAAGAATAGCAGGTTACAGCCTCAAATTTAGCCAGCAAATGTCATCTCAGAGTTAGTTAGATCTTTTCAGTTTTCTTTTCCCCCTCTATTTTAAGGGGGAGAAAAAGAACCCAAATCTTCAATAATAGTTAGAGTAAAAATCAGAGAAGAAGAAAAAATAGAAAGTAAAAAGTTACAAGTCTTATAATCCACTAGTTTTAGAAAATAGAATTTCAATTAGGATCCCAGTATTTTTCCAATGTTTTAAACTCCCGAGTGGTTGATAGCTGCTGTTTCTGGAGGGAGGGCTAAAATCCCCCTTCCCTCACCAAAGTACTTTAGCAGCTTATGCAGGTAATTAAGTAATTAGGATGTAAGAGAGACAGATCTCACCCAATCCTTTCCACACTGCTTTGAAGTTGCCAGATGTTAATGTGACTTCGGCTGTTAACAGCCTAGGGACAGAGCCATATTTATATGGCCGGTCCTTTCATCTGCTGCTTTGGAGGAATTGTTAGCTCTAACAGGAGAGTTGCTGCTCTCCTGCGATCCAGCAAGCCTTGCTGGTCACCTCTTCAGGGCAATTTTTGGCCCTTTTCAGGACCCCCCAGTGATGTGAAACTGAATGGGGGAGACAGAACAGATCTCCCAGCCGTCCATGGTGGCTGTGTGATGAAACCAGAAGCCCTATTATCATTTAGCCTTCTTATTATCTTCTATACCCCCCTCTTTTGTTGGTATTATTATTTTGATTATTATTATTCTGTTGCTTTGCCATGTGCACTGAGGGCTTCTATACCAGAGGTAAATTCCTTGTGTCGGATCACACTTGACCAACTAAAGTTCAATAAAGTAAGCATGAGGACAGGAACCCCCATATTCACTTTTTTCACATACCCACAAAGTTTTCATGGTATTAGAATTAGAATAACAGAGTTGGAAGAGACCTTGTAGGTCATCTAGCCCAACCTCTGCCCAAGAAGTATCATTTCTTGAGAAAGCAAATGGTTTACTAGGCTAAAATAAGGGAATCCAGTCTTTATCTTTGCATGTTGTATGACTCAGCTGTTATGTTCCAAATATTTAAAATGGAAATGAGATTTTATGCGTGCATATTTTGCAATTTTATAGATATACAAAATCATGAAGGGAATTTTATAATTGTACTGAAGCATATAACATATGGGCAGATTTTTTCCCCTTTACATCTGGTCTACTAAACTGAAATTTATCTAGCTGAGTAAGTAAAACTATTATTTACCTGTATATAAAAGATAAAAAAGAGACCCTTTGGTGAAAGAGTGAATGATCACTGTGTAAAGAAGCACAGTAAGTTGGACTTTTAAACAGATTTAACATATTCACTACTAGCGGCTAATACAAAATTGTTAAGTAAAGTTTAATTGTTTATAATTCGCTAGTACTGTGAATGAATGAGAGGCAGAAAATACTGTAATTGTATCCCTACACATCTAAGGTACTTTGCCGCTAGAAAAAGAACTAAAAAGAGGAAAGGTAGGTTCGGTTTAAATACTTTATCATTTTGGGATGGTGGCAACTAAATTTTAGCTGCTATATACTGTACAATCGCAAAATTAATGCAGAAAGAATTATGCCACTTCTGACTAAAGATGATTTCTTCATACTTACATTTTTTTGCATATTCTAAGACTTGAGTTCATAGTCATATATACTGTGAATTTCTTTTTTAAGAAGTCATTTTAGATTCTTGGTAGAAGTTTAGGTTTCATTTTTATTTTCTTGCTCATGTTTATTGATTTGTAAGAAATCAGGAACATTTGAAATATTTAAAAAAAGGATTGAAAATCATCTCTACCCAAGATACATTATTTTGAAAACAGATACTACAGTACAGTGCAGTACAATATAATATAATTGCAGCTCAAATAAAAATACTGTAAGTCTTCCATTTCAACAACTTAATTGTCTTTGAAGAAAAAATTTCCTGCTTCAAAAACAAAAACAAGTGAAATGTTTACTGATTGAACAAAAGAATATATATTTTCTTTTTTTTACATTTTTAATGTGCAATAGAGTTCACTGATGCTTTGCATTCTCAAAAGGATGCAACTTGTTTAATACTGATCCATGCTCCAGGCAGAATCTCTCTTTTTTGAACTTAAATAATCTACTCTACAGTTTTTATAGATATTTAAAAAGATATTCCAAGTTTCACAACACATAATAAATAAATATGACAGGGCACCCCATCACTCTCTAAATCTGGCATTCTTCCACAGAATATGTAGTATCTCTTCTTCATCAAGAAATTCATTCCAGCTATAGTAAACATATGTTTCTGCATAATATGTGCAAAATGGAACTCTGCAAAAAGGGTCTTCTTGCAGGGAAGAAGTCAAGTTTCCAAAGTCCACATCACTATGATTTTTGCATGTCCATGTGTGGGAAATAAAGGCCAAACATGTTCCTTTGGATCTGATACTTGCCTGCTCTCTTCTTCACCCAGACAGCAGTCTGATTAAAGACAGAAATAAATATATTTTATGCACATACAAGTGAAGTGCCTTCCTTCTTTTGTCCATTTTCTCTCTCATGATGGACATTTCTACAGGAGCCAATAGTCTCAGTTCCATCTGACTTTGTCAGAGGGAGAAACGAAGCAGAAGGCCCTTTCCATTGGCTCCATTAACTGCTTTTAGGGCCCTTCATTCCCAGAATTGCCTCCATCAACATCTAGGAGGTCTCAATATGAAAATGGCTTGAAGGAAACTGCTTCATCACATTCCCATCCGCTATTATTAAAATTCTTCTGAGAAAACATACACACTCTTCAGGTATTTATTGGATGAATGCTGAGGATTCCTTATGTTAGAGACTCATAATTAGCCCTCTACTTTGAAGTATAGTTCATACATACCATGACACATAGAAGAAATAAAAAGATAGAACTCAGTAAGACGGAGAAGCATATGAGAATGATGGTCCAATAAGGAAGCTCTGAAAATTATAAATAATGCAAATGCATAAATTTAATGATGAAATTTGCACCCTACCCTTTTCCACAGGCTATGTGCACCTGTATATGTGCTTTGGATAGACTATGCTAATTCTGTTTCAGTTTACAGCATTTTCTGTAGGAACTGATACAATAACAATCCTACATTTATTTAGTTCAATGCAGAGGAAATGGGGGTTTTGAAATCTGAAGCTAAAACATCTTGGGGTAAAAGATCCTAATTACCTTGTTTGGATGGTTTTGTTGCCATGGCTGAAGGATATGCTGGAAAAGAATGGAAGGAAAGAAAGGATTTCATTAAATATGAAATGGGCAAAAGATAGGCAGAGTCCTGCAGGGATCAAACAAGCCAAGATGGCAAGCACCACCATGCAATAGAAGCTTCACCTCTTTTTTACATGTGATGCTTCCATGGCATGGTGATGGCTGCCATCTTGATTTTTTTTATACCCCCACCCACCCAGGGAAAGACCCCTGGCAGAGTCCAAGATTCTAATTTTGATTCGTGTCTGTTTTTCTAATTTATAGTATCTGTCAAACATATCTTGTGCTTCCCTCATCTTACCATTAATATTTATGCTGTCATTGTCCAGGCTGTATTTCCCCATTAGGGAAGCATTCTGAGTCAGGTTTTTAAATATATCATGCACAAGGTCTTTGTCAAAAGTCTTTGAACCAAACTCCATTGCAAACGTGCAGATAGAATTGACACCGGTTTGAGTTTCATGGCTAGTGGGTCTGAAAAAGAAAATACAACCCACGGTAAATATTAAAAAGTGAGGTTGAGAAGATAAAGATCTGAGATTTTTATTTGTTAATGTAAAAAAAAAAAGGACTCAGAATTTTGGAACAGTAGTAGCAATAGCGAATACAAACAAATAGATTTGTGAATGGATACTCAATCAACTTTAAATTCTGTTTAAAAACGCACCTCAGGTTTTTCACAGAACAGCCTAGAAAATTCTTGCTTAGATCACTGCGTTGATACAGATGGTTGAGCTATTCCAAGGAAAAAGAAGAGGACAGATTAATGGACTACCAGGAATGATAATGAGCTAAGAAAGAACCAAACCTATTCCTCTTGACACTTTTTCTTGAGGTTTGAAATGGAAAACTTCTTCCATATTTAATTCTGCTTTAAGGAACATGCTGGCTAAAGCTTCAACATTATCATTCACTTAAGAGGGGTCAAATGCCCATGGTGTCAAATGTGAAGAAATTCACTACAAATTCATATTATGGGCCCCATGACCCACCCACCCCCGCCGCCTGTATTAACAACTGCTAATTTTCCTCTGGCTGGGCTACAATGTAATCAATAAAATGGACTGGCCTACTCATGTGAATTGAAAAGTAGAGCAAATTTGGGGTGACCTGCTCATTCCTATTCCTGCGGAGGTAGGCTGGCTATTAGATATTGCATCTGTTGCAAATTGGCTGTTCTGCAGGGCGTTATGTTTTCTGGATATGTTAAACTGCCCAAGATGCCTTTTAGGTAATGGAGAATATGTACCAGGTCTTACTCAATCCTCCCCTTTAGTATCTGACTTCCATTTGGCAAAGATATCTATTAATTTAGAGAATCTGCCAAAGGGTCACTTTTCCTCTTTTAACTCTGAAATGGAGGATGAATAGAACAGTTCTTTTTGTAAATATTCTTGCATTTTCCTAGCCTATTTCTTTAAAAGCAGGGGACATATGGATTAATAGATAGGTACATTAATTTTTCTTTCCAAAATCAGTCTTATTGTAATTGTGATACTTCCTCTTAAACATGCTCTAATTTTAAAAACTTTGCTTGTGAGCAGAAAGGAACACACTTGAAGATTTGGAGAGGAAAAAGATGATCAGGGGCAAGATACATTTGCTATCCATCAATCTTTTTTTAAAGGAAGGCACTTAAAAAAAAAACAACCACACTGCCTTCTATTGCAAAAATCTCCAAACTGTAGAACTATTGCTATGTATTTTTCTAGGAAGAAAATCTGCAAATATTTTGGGACTTTAACATCAATGAATTCTATAGATGTTTTCAGCCATTTACCTCATCCTTGATGCTCTCTTTGGTTTTCTGATAAACATCTGACTTTGGATTCTTCATGTCCTTGTATGGCAAGTTGATAATGGTGAAATTTACAGTGAAGTTCTTTAGCTTTAGCATGTGTGGAGGCTTATCGTTTACTGCTTCAGTATTTGTTTCAAGAACTTTCCATAGAAAAAGGAGTGCACAAATATAACAAACATTTATTTACTTGTAAATTTAATAATCACTCAGTGAAGGCAATTCTAAATGGTGTATAAAAGCTAACAACAAGGCAATAATAATATACATTGGTATTTAATTAAATAAATAAACTGTATAATTTTAATTTTAAAATACAGTTAATGTAACCCTCCTGTGTTTTAGGAAATATTTTTCTCTTCAGATTGGTACGAAAGAATGGTATTTTATAATATAGACATGGGATTTGTGGCACCTATTTTTATAGATTTTTATTTCATATGCATCTAGGGTTGTTTTTGTTAATTGTTCACTGTTACTGCCTAAAGCCTTTGGGACAAAATAGTATAACAGATATAGTAAACAAATAAACATTCCACACACTGTGAGGGTTCTCTTACTTCAAGTCCAAAAGGTTTGCAACAAAGTTATTATAAGCTTCTGAAAGATCCTAAGTGTGTTAAAAGTCTGTCTGTCTGTCTGTCTGTCTGTCTGTCTGTCTGTCTGTCTGTCTGTCGGTCGGTCGGTCGGTCGGTCTGTCTATCTATCTATCTATCTATCTATCTATCTATCTATCTATCTATCTATCTATCTATCTATCTATCTATCTATCTATCTAGTGCTTTTTTTCTAAAAAAAAAAAAAGGTGCTGGAACTCACACACGTCATACAACCTGCCTTGCCTATCCTACAAGGTTCCATCCAAAAAAGGTGCCGGAACTCCATTCTGGGCGTTTTATGAGAAAAAAAAAGCCCTGTATCTGTCTGTCTGTCTGTCTGTCTGTGTGTCGACTGGATGGAGCTGAGCATTTACTGGCCAGATGCCCTTCCTGATACCTCATGGAGTTTGCAGCAGATATTTTTTTCTTTGTGCCCTAGGAGAGAAATATCTGCTGTTACGTAGGATTGAACTCTCAATTTTCCAAGTGGGAGGTGAGTATCTTCACCACTAGGTTACCAAGGCGCTCAGAACTGTCTGTCTGACAGATTACATAAGTAATAGGAAAGGAGATATTATAAATTTCTTAAAGGCTTGAGGCCTACATGAATGACCATTATCATTTTAGTTCATGCCAAACTTTATACCTTCCACGGTGAAGCCCATGATTTGGAACCTGCTACCCAGCCACTGAGAGGTGGCATTCTGGGTCTCTTGTTGAAAGACATCTTTGATGGTGTCTTTGCTGATATTCCTTGCGGGATGGAAGTAACACCTGCAATCAACTATGATGGAACCGATCCTAAAAAGTATAGTAGAGTTTCAGGAAGAGAGAAAAAAGAAACATGGGCTGACTTCAGGCTAAAGCTAGGAAGCAAGTCAGATTGGCGGTAAAATGTTTTAATACACAAAAGCATTTCAAATTATATTACTGCTAGATAAAATCAGACATTTTCAGAGGCAACTTTCAAAGTCATCTTGAGTTTTGATGTCTTGATGATTAAAATGCATACAGAACAAAAGATTCCTACTATAGTATGCTGAAACTTCATAACCTTTGCCATAAATGGCTTTTTCAATGATGCAGAATTTCTAGCCAGCAAAACCACTGAGAGTTATATTTCCTACTATCTTAGTCAAAGCCTTCTCAACTACCTAAAAATAAATCTATTCAAAAGAAGCAGACCTAACAAAAGAAGAGGTGGAGTTGCATTACATATAAAAGATCAGCATACTATAGTAGGGATCTTTTTTCTATATGCATTATCTCTATAGAAATCCACAAAAACAAGGGTGAAAATCTCCTAGAATCCATATGGGTCAATATAAAAGGAAAAAAGAATGACATTGCTATAGGTATATACTACAGGCCACCTAACCAAGCAGAAGAAATAGATGAACTTTTTGCTAAAGAACGAACAAATGTATGTAGGAAATATGCCACAGTAGTAATGGGATACTTTAACAACCCTGATATCAAATGGGAGACAAACTCTGCAGCAAGTGGGAGATCAAACAGATTCCTAACCAACCTAGCTGACAACTTTGTCATCCAAAAGTTGGGAGAAGGGAACTAGAGGAAAAGCTAGACCTAATTCTTACTACGGTAATAAAGAAAAAGTGATAGAGGGAGTTGTAGTTGCTGGATCTATGGATGAGAGTGACCATGTCATATTGGAATTCAATATAATGCAAACACAAGCAATGGAACATAATCCAGCCAATGTCTTAAACTTTAAAAGAGCTGATTTTAACAAACTCAGAGAGAGCTTAAGAAAAATTCAATGGATGAAAATCCTAATGAGGAAAACAACCCAAGAAGCGTGGGAAACTCTGAAAAACTCTGAGCCAAGGTGGCGCAGCAGTTAGAGTGCAGTACTGCAGGCCACTTTAGCTGACTGTGTTCAGCAGGCCAGCGGTTCAAATCTCACCGGCTCAAGGTTGACTCAGCCTTCCATCCTTCCGAGGTAGGTAAAATGAGGACCCAGATTGTTGGGGGCAATGTAAATATATATATATATACACATTGCTTACTGGTGTACACCGCTTAGAGAGTGCTTGCACTTAAAGCGGTATATAAGTCAAATAAATAAATAAATAAATAAAAATATGATCACAAAAGCAGCATGGTTACACAAAGATCTTTCTTTGTGAAACTGAAAGACTAAAAAGGGCAAGTACAAAAAATGGAAAGAGAGACACATAACTAAGGCAGAGTATCAGCCTGAATCTGCAAAGATGAAGTCAGGAAAGCAAAGGCTCAGAATGAACAAAGATTTGCAACAAATGTCAAAGATAATTTAAAAAAAGTTTCTTTCAACATATAAATAACAAGAAAAAGCTCAAGGAAACAGTCAGTCGACTTAAGAGAGAAGCTGGCAAGGAAGTAACAGGCAGTAAAGAGAAAGCAGAGTTGCTTAACTCATTCTTTGCATCAGTCTTCACGCAAAAAGAAGCTATAGTCCAACCTACCAAAAACATAACTGTAAAAGACAGGCTAGAAATAAAAATTAAAATAAGCAAGAAAAGGAGTAGAGAACATCTATCTGGTCTTGATGAATATAAATCACCAGGACCTGATGGATTACATCCCACTGTTCTGAAGGAGCTGGCAGATGTTATCTCAGAACCATGTCTTTTAAAAATCCTGTAACACCAGAGAATTACCTGAGGATTGGAAAAGAGCTGATGTGGTTCCCATCTTCAAAACAGGAAAAAAAACAGACCTAGGAAACTACAGACCAATCCGCCTAACATTAATGTCTGAGAAGATACCGGAAAAGATAAAATCAAACTGATTTGTGAACATCTAGAAACAAATAAAGTTATAACTAAAAGTCAGTATGGGTTTGTTAAAAACAGATCATGCCAAACCAATCTTATTCTTTGACAAAGTGACTAAATTAGTATAGTCTAAATTAGTATTAGTATAATTTACTTGGACTTCAGTAAGGCATTAGATAAAGTAAACCACAACCTACTACTTGATAAGATAAAAAATGTGGGTTAAACAGCATCACCACCAGATGGATTCATAAGTGGCTGACCAACCACACTCAACATGTAGTCCTCAACGGAACTGCATCCACATGGAGGGAAGTATGCAGTGGGGTATCCCAAGGCTCTGTTTTAGGCCCAGTACTCTTCAACATCTTAATCAATTATTTGGATGAGGGATGTGGAATTCATCAGATTTGCAGATAACATCAAGTTGGCAGGAATAGCCAACATTCCAGAAGATAGGCTTAAGTTACAGAAGGATCTTGACAGACTTGAACATTAGGTGTTATCTAACAAAATGAAATTCAATGGTGAAAAAAGTAAGGTTCTATATTAGGCAAGAAAAACCAAATGCACAGGTACAGTATAGGTGGTACTTTGCTCAAAGTAATAACTGTGAGAGGGATCTTGGAGTCCTAGTGGACAATCACTTAAATATGAGCGTGCTGCAGCTGCCAAAAAAGCCAACACAGTTCTAGGCTGCATTAACAGAGGGATAGAATCAAGATCATCATTTGATGAGCCGAGGTGGCGCAGCAGTTAGAGTGCAGTACTGCAGGCCACTTTAGCTGACTGTGTTCAGCAGGTCAGCGGTTCAAATCTCACCGGCTCAAGGTTGACTCAGCCTTCCATCCTTCCGGGGTAGATAAAATGAGGACCCAGATTGTTGGGGGCAATGTAAATATATATACATTGCTTACTGGTGTACACCGCTTAGAGAGTGCTTGCACTTAAAGCGGTATATAAGTCTCATAAATAAATAAATAAAGTGTTAATACCACTTTATAATGACTTTGTAAGGCCACCCTTGGAATACTGCATCCAGTTTTGGTTACCATGATGTAAAAAAGATGTTGAGACTCTAGAAAGAGTGCAGGCAGAGAAGAATAACAAAGATTATTAGGGGACTGGAGGCTAAATATATATAAAGAACAGTTGCTGGAATTGGATATGTGTAGTTTAATGAAGAGAAGGACTAGGGGTGACATGACAGCAGTGTTCCAATATCTAAGGGGCTGCCACAAAGAAGAGGGAGTCAAGCTATTCTCCAAAGCCCCTGAAGGCAGGACAAGACGCAACGGATGGAAACTAATCAAGGAGAGAAGCAACCTAGAACTAAGGAGAAATTTTCTGACAGAACAATTAACCACTGGAACAACCTGCTTCCAGAAGCTGTGAATGCTCCAACACTGAAAGTTTTTAAGAAGAGATTGGACAGCCATTTGTCTGAAATGGTATACTGTTTCCTGCTGATCAGGGATTTGGACTAGAAGACCTCCAAGGTCCTTTCCAACTCTGTTATTATGTTAGTAGACCAGCAAAATGCTGTGGACATAGTATACTTAGACTTCAAGCAGGGATTCAACAAAGTAGACCACAACCTACTTCTTGGTAAGTTAGAAAAATGTGGAATAGACAGCATCACCAGATGGCTTTGTAACTGGCTGACAAACTGTACTCAAGAGTTGTCCTTAATGGTACTACATCTACATGGAGAGAAGTAAGCAGTGGGGTACAACAAGGTTCTTTCTTAGGCCCAGTACTCTTCAATATCTTCATAAATGACTTAGATGAGGGAATAGAAGGGGAACTCATCAAATTTGCAGATGACACTAAACTGGCAAGAATAGCCAACACCTCAGAAGATAAGCTAAGGATCCAAAAAGATCTTACAGACTTGAACAATGGGTCCTATCCAACAACATGAAATTTAATGTGGAGAAAAGCAAGGTTTTACATTTAGGCAGGAAAAACCAAAGGTACAAGTACAGATCAGGTGAAACCTGGATCAAAAACAGTAACTGTGAGAAGGACCTTGGGATCCTAGTGGATGATTACTTAAATATGAGCCAGTGGTGTGCACCAGCAGCCAAAAAAGCTAATAAAATCCTGGGTTGTATAAACCAAAGCATAGAATCAAAATCATGTGAAGTATTGGTACTACTTTATAAAGCCTTAGTAAGGCCACACTTGAAATACTGCATCCAGTTTTGGTTGCCACACTACAAAGAAGATGTTGAGATGTTGGGAAAAGTGCAAAGAAGAGCAACTAAGATGATTAAAAGCTGGAGACTAAAACATATGAAGAACAGTTGCAGAATTTGGGTTTTGCTAGTCTAGAGCAGTGTTTCCCAACCTTGACAATGTTAAGGCATGTGGACTTCAACTCCCAGAATTCCACAGCCAGCAATGCTGGCTGTGGAATTCTGGGAGTTGAAGTCCACATGCCTTAACATTGTCAAGTTTGGGAAACAGTGGTCTAGAGAAAAGAAGGACTAGGGATGACATGATAGCAGTATTCCAGTATTTGAGAGGTTGCCACAAAGAGGAGCCAGTCAACTTATTTTCCAAAGTAGCAAAGGACAGGACAAGAAACAATAGATGGAAACTAATCAAGGAGAGAAGCAACCTGGAATTAAAGAGAAACTTCCTAACAGTGAGGACAATTAACCAGTGGAACAGCTTGCCATCAGAAGTTGTGGGTGCTTCATCACTAGAGGCTTTTAAAAAGAGACTGGACAGTCACTTTTCTGAAACGGTATAGGGTCTCCGCTTGAGCAGGGGGTCAGACTAGAAGACCTCCAAGGTCTCTTCCAGCTCTATTCCGATTGAATTCTTTCAATCAATATCAATATTATAATGTTTGATTATTTTGGAATATCTTTCCTAAGACACCTAACTCAGCAGCAGCAGGGCCTAGCAACCTTTTTAGTGCCGAAAGCTGCATTTTCCAGGACTAATCTGTTAGTGAAGGAAGATCCCCACGGTAGGCCTAGCTGCAGTAAGGAATGAATGTGACCCAGTGCCTAAAATGGGCATTCTGTTTCTGACCCATAGTTTGTTATTCTTTCTGATTTCCCCATAAAAAAAAAAAAAACACTATTTGAGGCACTTTCTCTCCCCCCCCCCCCAAGTTGCAGGGAGCTTAGAGAGCTCCTGATGAACTTGCAAAGAGTTAGTTAGGCCCAGCTATCCAATGCTAGCTAATAGGTAAGTGGATGGAAAGCAATGGAAAGAGACAAGGAATAAAATTCTCCTTTAATTTCAGCAGTGCTTTTTTTATAAAAACTCACACATGTCACACAACCCGCCTTGCCTACCAAACAAGGTTCCATCCAAAAAAGGTGCCGGAACTCCGTTCTGGGTGTTTTATGACAAAAAAAGCCCTGATTTTCAGTAGCATTAAATTGTATCATACTTGAAAAGTCTGAAGAAAGGTAAAAATTGGGGAGTGCTATTTTGATGTCTTCCCTGCAGCATCTGCTCTACTTTACTTGAAAAGGTGGGTAAGGAAGGGAAAGACATGCTGGTTTGGAATTTTGGAAGTTAAAAGCCTAAAGTGCTAGGAGAATGTGAATTGGGAAATACTGTTCTTTCTTATTGTTATTTTATTACTTGTAGGTTCCTTCAACCATAGCCAGTGAAGTGACTAACATCCCACCTTCATAATAAAGGTTAATGCAGCACTGATAGTTTCGTAGTATGCTGCAAAAACCTAGAGAATACTATCTCTGTTAAAAGTTTCATATGGGCAGAGTTAGGTGGTATCTTCAAGTGCTTCGTATTACAGACAGGTAAGATCCAAACAATGAGTGTATACACATAGTTTAAATATTTCATGAAATCATAATTATAGTTTCTTCAATAAGCCATATCTGGCTGAATTCACACACCATAATAATCCATAACATAATTCACTTGGTTTTGATTTAATTGTTTATGAACATAATGATGCCATCAAGATCTTGCTCCGAGTCACCTTTGATAAATACTGACCTTAATTTAGTTACAGCACAAATTTTGAATCCATCGTTGATGGAACTCTGGTGGAAGAGTTGATTCAACTGGAATCAAATCAAATTAAATCCTATTAAGAGTAAATCTACACTTTTAAATTTCTCTCGCTCTGAGATTGATAAAGTGATATATTTGAATTTAATGGACATTCAGATTTAATGGACGTTCTCTTCCTGAATTACTTTATTGTTACTATAAAGTTGTAAGTATGCCAGTTTGTGGAAGATATGGATGCAGATTAGGAAAATTAATTCAAAAACATCCTACAAAAAAAGGGAATTAGAAAATGTGAGAGAGACTTGCAATAGCACCATCTCATGGTATTTGCCTATCATGTTTCTATTCAGGACTTCTAAGTGAAAATCCTCACCTCATTACTGATGGAACCGATCAATTGCTTATATTCTGGTGATAATGGATTTGTATTGGTCAAGTTCTTGTTAATAATTTTGAAACCAAGCTTATAGCCTACTAGACCTGGAGCTGAATCAGTTGTAGATGGTGAATATCCTAAAAGAAGGAAACAGGAAGCGATCTGCTTTTTTTCTTTTTCTTTCTTTTCCCATTTTACTATCAAGCAAAATTCAAAGCAGTCATAGAATGGCTGCTTCCTTGATTATAATTTTTTATTAAGAATTTTGATTATAACAGTGAAATCTAATATAAAGTAAATGTAATGAAAAAGAGAATATAGAGAAGAAAAAAGTGCAAGGAAAAAGAAAAATAAGAATATAATGAAGAAAGAGAAAATAAATGTATAAAGAAGTGATTTCTGACTTTCATAACAATATGGTTAAACAAATTTGTGACTCTTCCCTCCCTAATAAAGTTACTTTTTAATAAGAATTTTATTAAGAACCAAAAAACTAACACAGACTAATAAAGAGTGAAAAGGCAAAGCAAGTGAAAAGAAAAAATGTGAAAAAGAAAAAAGTTTCCAATTTTCTTTGCAGCAAATATAAGTACAATTACAAAATTATCTCTTATTCTATATTACAAAAAGCACACTTTTATTATCATTTTTTCTAATCAAAACCACAAATCATAAATGTATTTTTCTGTTTAATGCAAAATGTCTAGAAGAAATTTCCAGTCAGCCATAAATGTAGGTATTGTTTTTTTTCTGATTAAAGAAGTTAATTTAGCCATCTCCATTAGTTTCATCATCTTCACCATCTTTTCCTCTATTGTGGCTAGTGCCGAATCTTCCCACTTTTGAGCATATAATAGTCTTGCTCCATGGCTTTTTTCTAGTTGCCTGTCCGTTCATCCCGAAAGAAAAGTCACTGGTTGCAGTTTTAACCTTTACAATCTTCTTAATGTACAGAATGTATTTGTATCCAGATATTTTTACTTTTTTACATTTCCACCAAAACGTGATTAAAATGTTCCTTCATATTGTTCACATTTCCAGCAAACATTCAAAGTGCCTTTATACATTTTAAACAGTTTCTCTGCTGACAGATAGCAGTGTACATCATTTTATAAAAATTCTCTTTGAGATTACAACATAATCTAAATTTCAATCTTTTAGCCACATATTTTCCCATTGATCCATTTGTATATTGTAGCCAAAAAATTTAGCCCATTTTATCATACATTCTTTCATGTGTTCTTCTGATATTTCATCAGAGGTTTGTACATCTTAGCAATAACATGTTCATCATTACTACATAGTTATATTTCAAACTCAGTGTCATATTGTTCAAAACCACAAAATCTTTTATCCACTAACATTTTCTGATAAGTGTACATAAGAAAAACATTGACAAGAATATTTTGTTCTTAAATCTTCTCTTGATTTCATTTTACAATCCCCTTGTGAAAATTTTAATACATCACAATAAATTAACCACTTATCATTTCTCTTCTGTAAAGTGCTTCTTCCACTGAAAGCCAAACAGATGTTTTCAGGCAGAATTTATATTTATTACACATTCTAAGAATGGCTGATCTGACATGAGTTCTAAAGTCTAAATTCTCTTAGCAACATCTTCTTTTATCTGCTCTCTTAATTTTACAAATTTTTCATCCATTCTTTCTTCAAAATCATCAACTTTTTCCCATCTGATAAAATTTATCATTTGTTAAGAAAAGTTTGAAAGTACACACACCATGCCGCCATTTTTAACTGCTTGACACATTAGGCCAGGTCCATCCTAAACATGAAAGAGTATCTCAAGATTGTGTCTATTTATATAAAGTACACCAAACAATGTCAATGTTCTAAGGAATTCTGTACAAAATTTACGTGATGTGATAATCTTCTTTCGGTGGCAATTACTTGCTTTCCAATAGGATAACAATAGCTCAATATAAAGTGTCTATCTAACCCAATGTTTGCTTGTAGAAAGTCCTTGGGCTTTACCAGAGAAAACTACAAAATACTAAATGAACATGAGGTGTCAATAAGCACTGTTGCCATCTAGCAATTATCCAGATTTTTGTAACCCAAATTCAGTAGACATAGAAAAAAAAATTGTAGCCCACTGGCATCTCTTATTGCTGTCACTGAGACACACTACTATTTAAGTTAGATAATGTTGGTCACAAGTAATTCAGTGCTGGACAGCCTCAAAGGTTTTTAGTCATGAAAGCAAAACTAATGCTTCTTACCATTAACAAAAAGGCTGTTTGGATCCAGGTTGTACCTCCCCATCTTGGTGAAATGGTTGGTCTCATTTATGAATTTCTGATATATATTGATTGGATCGAAAGGGGGGGCTGCAGCGGCTTTACGATAGCAGCACACACTGTCTACTCCAGTATACTTTCTCTGATTTACAGATCTGAGAAGGAAAAGATACAAATAAAGATACATTCACAACAGGTATACAGATCTTGGAACTACCTGGCAATCTGAAGTATGAAAGGACTTCGAATTCAGTTCTGCTGTATTACAGCAACATATATCCTTGATTCTTTTCTTGACACTGCTTTGTATCATTTTTTTTCTTCCTGCTGGTTTGACTATTTAATATGCCCTTCTTTATTTTCAAGCTCATTTCAACCAAATATTGAAGCAAAGAAATTGTTTCGGATGAAAATGACAGACCAAGGTCTTCAGAAATTAGAATGGGGATAATAATGACATGTTAAAAATGGATTAGAAATAAACTATGGGTTCTCTCAAATATGACAAGGTGTTGTGAGAGATCTATATTAGAATCCATTAATCCCCATAGTAGGGCATTTAAGGATCCCTAAAAAATTTCCAACCCATATTGCTTACCTTAATGTTGATAAACGGCAGTTGATCAAATCACGACCAATGTCACTGTTTTTCAATATATCTCCCAGCTAGGTATAAAGAAGAAAAAAAATGTAATTGTTGCCAATACCAAAACACTATTATGAAAGTCCTATGTAGAAAAGCCATTGGATGCATTGGTCTTCTTACCAAATTAACCAAGAATCGTTGTGTTGAGCTGAAAATCCTTGATGTGGGATTAGCCATCTGTGGCCTATAGATCAAATTGGTTGCAATGAAGTTGACTGTAAAGCATTCAGTTGCCACTGGAGGTCTGGAAGTCGGAGAAAGAGCTAGAAGAGAGACAGTGAATGTCAGGTATGGAAACTGGAGTTGATAGCATATAATCAATCCATCAATCATTATTTTGTATTTTGCGGTTCCTGTCATGAATACAGGATGTTCAGTGGTGCATTAACAGAAGTTTAAGAACAAGCAAATCCTTTTCACAGTTAGAAACTGTTATTCTCAATCTGCATTGGGTCTAGAAAAGGGCAAGAAGGATGAGCAGGGGCCGGAAACCAAGTTGTGCAAAAGAAAAATTGATGAGTTAAGCCTGGAGAACAGAGGACTCAGAAGGACTATGGTAGCACTTTTCAAGAATGTAATGGGATACTATACAGAGGGTAATGGGCTGTTCTGTAACATCCCAAGATGCAGAATAAATTCACCAAGCAGATTCTTGTTCAGTGTTACAGAACTATTCCTAATAGTCACAATCAGTTGGAATATCAGAAATCAATATCCATTCTCTGTTTGAAGATCTCTACTGAACACATCACGTTGGGAATTGACATGGTGCACTAGGTTACACCTTTCATTATCTGGAAAATCTTCTCAATATTTAACCTGCTTCTACATCCCTGTGGTTTCCACCTTTTGTTTGTGGCAAAAGCCTGTATGGCATATTGCTTTGCTTGCTCTGCAATCGGTACATTTGGGACAAGGTTGGACATTTTAGATTGTGTACCACAGTTGGAATCCATGGCTCAAGAAATTTCTGTAAAAGTGTACTTACTGGTAGGAGGTGATGCCTCATGATAATCTGAAATGGAAAGAGAGGTGCAAAAATGGAAAGAGAGTCACAAAGGAAGGCACAAGAGCACACTGATGTGGGAAGTGGGCTCTCAAGCTCTCCACCATGAGAAAAAGAAAATACAATAAATTCTTTATAAATAGAATGAATAAAGCGCGTTCTCCTGGTGAACGCGCTTTATTCATTCTATTTATAATTATGCCCGGGAGTCGCATTTTCACCATCATTAGTGAATAAATTGTTTCTATATACTTCCAACTACTCCATCTCAATGAATCTCAGATAATAGGTTTGCAAATTATCCTGAAGGTCCCCAAATAGCAGCAATCTTTAATTTAAGTAGGCCACTGTGATTAACTCTATATAAAGTGTCCACCTAGTCCAGGGGTAGGCCACCTTGGCTCTTTTATGACTTGTGGACTTCAACTCCCAGAATTCCTGAGCTAGCCATGCTGAGGGGAAAGGAAGAGGTTTCCAAGCTGAGCCATGCTGGCTCAGGAATTCTGGGAGTTGAAGTCCACAAGTCATAAAAGAGCCAAGGTTGCCTATCCCTGACCTAGTCCAATTATTACTTGTAAGAAGGTCCTGGGACAGTGTCAGAAAAAAATCATCAAGAAGATCAGAGACACACATCTGGACTGCAAAACTCCAAATGATCATGAGGTGTTAATAGACACTGGTACCATCCAGTGGTCATCTAGATTTTTGTAGATCAAATTTCGTGGGGCTAAAAAAAGTCTTGTACCCCTCTGGCATCTCTCCATGGTGTCACAAAGAAGAACTATCACTTAAGTTACATAACACGATCAGAACCGATTCAGTGCCAGCCAAGCTCATAAGCTCTTTAGCAATAGCATTTAGACTTATATACCCTTCACAATGCTTTATAGTCCACTGAATGCGGTTTACAATGTCAGCATTTTGCCCCCAACAATCTGGGTCCTCATTTTACTTACCTTGGAAGGATGGAAGGCTCAGTCAATTTTGAGCCGGTGAGAATTGAACTGCCAAACTGCAAGCAGCCAGCAATCAGCAGAAATAGCCCACAATACTACATTGTAACTACTGCATCACCACGGCTTTTTAGTCATGAAAGCAATCTCTGCTTCTTACCATTAACAAAAAGGCTGTTTGAATCCAGGCTGTACCTCTCCATCTTGGTGAAACCATTGGTCTCATTTATGAATTTGCGATATATGTTCACTCGATCAAAAGGGGGGGCTGTTGTGGTTTTACGGTAGCAGCAGACACTGTCTGCTCCAGTGTACTTGCCCTGATTCACAGATCTGAGAATGAAAAGACACAACTTGAGACATATTCAGAAAAGCTGTAGAGGACTTTGGATGACTTCACAGAGGTAAGGACGCATTTGGATCTATTGGCAGACCGAAAAGTAAAAGGTGAGGTCTTCCACTTCAGACTTAATACAGGTCTGCTATATTATTGCAGCCTTGTGCGTGCCACCTCACATTTTTCTTCCCCCTGGTTTAACTATTCAGGATCCCCTCTGGGTATTTCCCAGCTGATTTCATTCTTGAATGGCTCCCTACATTACAGGGAGACAGTTCTATCACCCTCTTTTTGGATTTTTTTCTCACAATATTTTTATGTGGTGTTTTTAAACTTTAAATTCCACTTCAGACCTGATTTTGGAAAGGCATAAAGGAAGTTAACCATGGAGCCATCAGCACAGTGATAGCAAATGAATATTGAAGCAAAAAAAAAGATTTGGGATGCAAATGCTGAAAGAATTTATTTTAGAAATTTGTATATCAACGTGATACGTTACAAAGTGGAACTGAAACAAATATGACTAGATGTTGCAAAAAGTCCATATTAGAATCCTTTCATCTGTTTAGATATCACCCCAAAAAATTCTCCATTCCATATTTCTTACCTTAATGTTGATAAAGTACAGTTGATCAAATCAGGACCAACCTTGCTGGTGTTCAATATCTGTCCCAACTAGGTTTAAAGGAAAAACTATGTATTTATTACTGGTAGTAAAACACTATTGCTGATTATTTTATGAAAGTCCTATTTGGGAGAGCTATTAGGGTAAGTATGCATTTGCCTGCTCACCAATTTACGAAGCACTCCTTGTGTTGAGCTGAAGAGTCTTGACTTGGGATTACCCATCGGTGGCCTATACATCAAATTCTTGATAGTGAGGTTGACCGTAAAGCATTCGGTTGTCACTGGAGGTTTGGAAGTGGGAGAAACAGCTGGAAGAGAAATAATGGATCTCAGATATGGAAACCAGAACTGATGGTATATAATCTATCCATCAATCATTGTTTTGTATCTTGCAGTTCCTGTCATGAACACAGGGTTCAGTGGTGCATTACGGGAGTTTAAGGACAAGCATGTGCTTTTCACAGTCTGAAAGTAACTTATTCTTAATCTGTTGTGGGTCCAGAAAAGGGAAAGAAGGACGAGCAGGGGCTGGAAACCAAATTGTATAAAAGAAAGACAGATTAATAAAGTACTGAGAACAGTGGACTGAGCAGGACTATAATAGCACATTTCAAGAATGTAATGGGATACTATACAGAAGGTAATGGGCTGTTCTGTAACATCCCAAAATGCAGAATAAATTCACAAAGTAGATTCTTGTTCAGTGTTGCAGAACTATTCCTCATGGTCAAAATCAGAGTTGGAATATCAGAAATCAGTATCCACTCTCTGTTTGAAGATCTCTCCTAAACACATCATTTGGGGAATTGACATGGTGCACTGATTGACACCTTTTACTGTATGGAAAAAACTTCTCAATATTTAACCTGCTTCTTCTCAATATTTAACCCATCATTTGTGGCAAACACCTCTAGACCATACTGGTTTACTTGCTCTGCAATCGGTATATTTGGGACAAGATTGGACATTTTAGATTGTGTACCACAGTAGGAGTCCATGACTCAAGAAACCTCTGTAAAGGTGTACTTACTGGTTGGAGGTGCTGCTTCATGATAATCTGAAATGGAAAGAGAGTTGCAAAAATGTAAAGAGAGTCACAAAAGAAGGCACAAAGCACACTAGTATCTGAAGTCACTCTCAAGCTCTCCATCATGAGAAAAAGAAGAGACGATAAATTCTTCCAACTACTCCATATCAACGAATCTCAGATAGTAGGGTTGCGGATTATCCTATAGGTCCCCAAATAGCAGCAGTTTTAAAGTAGACCACTGTGACTAACTCTATGTAAAGTGTCCACCTAGTCCAATGATTTCTTGTAAGAAGGTCCTGGGACAGTATCAGAAAAAAAATCATCCACATGTCTGATTGCAACTCCAAATGATCATGACATGTTAATAGACACTGCTGCCATCTAGTGATCTTCTAGATTTTTTGTAGCCCGAGTTTGCTAGAGCTAAAGAAAGTCTTGTAGCACCTCTGGCATCTCTCCATTGTGTGTCAAAGAGAGGAACTACCACTTAAATTATATAACACTGGTCAGAATTGATTCAGTATTGGCCAGCCTCATAACCTTTTTAGTCATGAAAGCAATCTCTGCTTCTTACCATTAACAAAAAGGCTGTTTGGATCCAGGCTGTATGTCTCCATCTTGGTGAAACCGTTGGTCTCTTTTATGAATTTGCGATATATGTTCACTCGATCAAAAGGGGGAGCTGTGGTGGTTTTACGGGAACAGCAGACACTGTCTACTCCGGTGTTCTTGCCCTCATTCACAGGTCTGAGAATGAAAAGACACAACTTGAGACATATTCAGAGAAGCTGTAGAGGACTTTGGATATTTTCACAGAGGCAAGGTCGCACTTGGATATATTGGCAGGCCGAAAAGTAAAAGATGAGGTCTTCCAGTTCAGACTTAATACAGGTCTGCTACATTATTGAAATCTTGAGCATTTTGTTGACACTGGCTTGTTCTGTGCTAACTCATATTTTTCTTTCTCTGGTTTAACTAGTCATAATCCCCTGAGTATTCCCTAGCTGATTTCATTCTTGAATGGCTCCCTACATTAGACAGACACAGTTCTATCACTCTCTTTTTGGAGTTTTTCTGACAACATTTTTAACCTGGTGTTTTTAAACTTAAAATTCCACTTGAAACCTGATTTTGGGAAGGCATGGAGGAAGCTAACCATGGAACTTCCAGTACAGTGATAGGAACTTAATATTGAAGTAAGGAAATGGTTTGGGATGAAAATGCTTTAAGGACTCTTCTAGAGATTTGTATTTCAATGTGATATGTTACAGACTGGAACTGAAACAAACTATGGGTTATATCAAATAGGATTAGATGTTGTGAGAAGTCCATATTAGAATACTTTCATCCCCTTAACAGGGCATTTAGATATCACGAAAAAAATTTCCATCCAATATTACTTACCTTAATGTGGTTAAACTACAGTTGATTAAATCAAGACCAATCTTGCTGGTGTTCAATATTTGTCCAAACTAGGTGTAAAGGAAAAACTATGTATTTATTGCTGATGGTAAAACATGATTACCCATTATTTTATGAAAATCTAATGTGGAAGAGCTACTGGGGTAAGTATGCATTTGTCTTCTCACCAATTTACATAAGAGACCTTGTCTCTTTAATGAAAAGCCTATGTATTTATGGCAAATAGTAAAACACTATCGCTGATTATATTATGAAAGTCCTATGTGGAAGAACTATTGGACAAGGTATGCATTGGTCTTCTTACCAAATTAACCAAGAATCGTTGTGTTGAGCTGAAGATCCTTGATGTGGGATTAGCCATCTGTGGCCTATAGATCAAATTGGTTGCAATGAAGTTGACTGTAAAGCATTCAGCTGCCACTGGAGGTCTGGAAGTGGGAGAAAGAGCTAGAAGAGATACAGTGAATCTCAGATATGGAAACCAGAGTTGATGGCATATAATCAATCCATTAATCACTATTTTGTATTATGCAGTTCCTGTCATGAACACAGGGGGTTCACTGGTGCATTACAGAAGTTTTAAGAAAAAGTATATGCTTTCACAGTTTGAAAGTAACTGTTATTCTCGATGTGTTGTACGGCCAGAAAAGGGAAGGAAGGATGAGCAGGGGCCGGAAACCAAGTTGTGCAAAAGAAAGATTGATCGGTTAAGCCTGGAGAACAGAGGACACAGAAGACTATGGTAGCACTTTTCAAGAATGTAAAGAAGTACTATACAGAAGGGCATGGGCTGACCCAAGATCCTGAATAATTTCACAAGGCAGATTTTTTGTTCAGTGTTACAGAACAATTGCAAATGGTCATAATCAGAGTTGGAATATCAGAAATCAGTATCCACAATTCAAGATCTTTACTGAACAGACCACCTTGGGAATTGACATGCTAAATTGGTTGAGCCTTATAAGGTCTGGAAATTATCAATATTTAACCTGCTTCTCCATCCCTGTGGTTTCCACCCATCATTTATGGCAAAAGCCTTTAGGGCATACTGCTTTACTTGCTCTGCAATTGGTATATTTAGGACAAGTTGGACATATTAGATTGTGTACTACAGTTGGAGTCCATGGTTCAAGAAATCTCTGTAAAGGTGTACTTACTGGTCGGAGTTGATGCTTCATGATAATCTGAAATGGAAAGAGAGTTGCAAAAATGGAAAGAGTCACAAAGGAAGAAACAAGAGCACACTAGTATTTGGAAGTCACTCTCAAGCGCTCCACCATGAGAAATAGAAGATACAATAAATTCTTCCTACACACTTCCAACTACTCCATATCAACAAATCTCAGATAGTAGGGTTGTGAATTATCCTGAAGATCCCCAAATAGCAGAGTTTTAAAGTAGGCCACCTAGTCCAAAGATTGTTTATAAAAGACATGTCAAACACAAGGCCCGGGGGTCGGATGCGGCCCGCAAAGTGGTTTCATGTGGCCCACGAAGCCATCCTGGAAACAGTGAGGGAACGGCCCCCACTGCCTTGGCCCTGGCCCAGGCTGGCCGGGAGCCAATGTACAATTTTGTGGTGGTCATCTATGCTGAAACGCATTCAGATCTATCCCATGCCTGCCCAGGCCCCCACAGGCACCTTTGACGCGAATGATGTAGAGCTGGCCATGCCCACCCAATAGGCCACACCCACTCCATCCACACCCACCTAATAGGCTGAACCCACCCTGCCACACCCACCTGGCTCCCAGAGGGCAACCGCAATGCTGATGCAGCCCTCAATGAAATTGAGTTTGACACCCCTGGTTTATAAGAAGGTCACGAGACAGCGTAAAAAAAATAATAATTGAGAAGAACAGAGCCAGCACAGCTGGACTACAAAACTCCAAATGACCATGATGGGTTAATAAACATGTTGCCATCTACTGGTTATATACATTTTTGTAGCCTGAATTTGGTAGAGCTAAAGAAACTCTTGTAGCCCTCTGGCATCTCTCCATCGTGTGTCACAGAGAGGAACTACCACTTAAGTTATGTAACACTGGTCAGACTCAATTCAGTGCTGGCCAGCCTCATAATCTGTTTAATCATGAAAGCATTCTCTGCTTCTTACCATTAACAAAAAGGCTGTTTGGATCCAGGCTGTATCTCTCCATCTTGGTGAAACCGTTGGTCTCATTTATGAATTTGCGATATATGTTCACTCGATCAAAAGGGGGGGCTATGGTGGTTTTACGGTAGCAGCAGACACTGTCTACTCCGGTGTTCTCTCCCTGATTCACAGATCTGAGAATCAAAAGACACAACTTGAGACATATTCAGAGAAGCTGTAGAGGACCTTGGATGATTTCACAGAAGTAAGGTCACATTTGGATCTATTGGCAGACCGAAAAGGTGAAGTCTTCCAGTTCAGACTTAATACAGGTCTGCTACATTATTGCAACCTTGAGCATTTTCTTGATGCTGGTTGTTCTCTGACCATGCCAACTCACATTTTTATTTACCCTTGTTTCACTGTTTGGGATCCCCTCTGAGTATTTCCTAGCTGATTTCATTCTTGAATGGCCCCCTACAGTAGACAGACACATTTCTATCACCCTCTTTTTGGAGTTTTTCAGACAGCATTTTTTAATCTGGTCTTTTTAAATTCCACTTCAAACCTGATTTTGGGAAGGCATGAGGGAAGCTAACCATGGAGCGTCCATCACAATGACAGAAACTTAATATTGAATCAAACAAATGGTTTGGGATGAAAATGCTTTAAGGAGTCTTTTAAAGATTTGTAAATGTGATATGTTACAGACTGGAACTAAAAATAAACTATGGATTCTCACAAATGTGACTAGTTGCGAGAAGTCCATATTAAAATACTTTTATCCCCAGAACAGGGCATTAAGATATCACAAAAAAAAGTCTCCATCCCATATTACTTACCTTAATGTTGATAAACTACAGTTGATCAAGTCAGGACCAATCTTGCTGGTGTTCAATATTTGTCCCAGCTAGGTGTAAAGAAAAAACTATGTATTTATTGCTGGTGGTAAAACATGACTGCCCATTATTTTATGAAAATTTAATGTGGAAGAGCTACTTGGGGTAAGTATGCATTTGTCTTCTTACCAAATTAACCAAGAATCGTTGTGTTGAGCTGAAAATCCTTGATGTGGGATTATCCATCTGTGGCCTATAGATCAAATTAGTTGCAATGAAGTTGACCGTAAAGCATTCAGTTGCCACTGGAGGTTTGGAAGTGGGAGAAACAGCTGGAAGAGGAATAATGGATGTCAGATACAGAAATCAGAACTGATAGTATATAATCTATTCATCAATCACTGTTTTGTATCTTATAGTTCCTGTCATGAATGTGGGGTTCAGTGGTGCATTACAGAGGTTTAAGGACAAGCATATCCTTTTCACAGTTTGAAAGTAAATGTTATTCTCGATGTGTTGTGGTCCTGAAAAGGGCGAAAAGGACGAGTAAGGGCTGGAAACCAAGTTGTGCAAAAGAAAGATTGATGGGTTAAGCCTGGAGAACAAAAGACTCAAAAGGACAATGGTAGCACTTTTCAAGAATGTAATGGGATACTACAGAGAAGGGAATCTGCTGCTCTGTAAAGTCCCAAGATGCGGAATAGGTTCACAAGATAGATTCTTCTTCAGTGTTATAGAACTATTCCTAATGGTCATAATCAGAGTTGGAATATCAGAAATCAGTATCCACCCTCTGTGTGAAGATTTCTACTGAACACACCACTTTGGGAATTGACATGGTGCACTGGGTGACATCTTTTACTAGAAAATCTTCTCAATACTTAATGTGCTTCTATATTGCTGTGGTTTCCACCTATTGTTTGTGGCAAAAGCCTCTAAGGCACAGTGCTTTACTTGCTCCGCAATCGATATATTTAGGACAGGGTTGTACATTTTAGGTTGTGTACCACAGTTGAAGTCGATAGCTCAAGAAACCTCTGTAAAGGTGTACTTACTGGTCGCAGGTGGTGCTTCATGATAATCTGAAATGGAAAAAGAGGTGTAAAAATGGAAAGAGAGTCACAAAAGTAGGCACAAGAGAACACTGGTATGGGAAGTCACTCTCACGTTCTTCACAATGAGAAAAAGAGACGATATATTCCTCCTATATACATCCAACTACTCCATCTCAACGAATCTCAGACAGTAGGGTTGCAAACTATTCTGAAGGTCTCCAAATAGCAGCAGTCTTTAGTTAAAGTAGGCCACTGTGACTAACTGTATATAAAGTGTCAACCTAGTCCAATGGTTTCTTGTAAGAAGGTCCTGGGACAGTGTCAGAAAAAAATAATCAAGAAGAACAGAGCCAGCATGTCTGGACTGCAAAATTCCAAATGACCATGATGGGTTAATAAACATGTTGCCATCTACTGGTCATCTAAATTTCTGTAGCCTGAATTTGGTAGAGCTAAAGAAACTCTTGTACCCCTTGCCCTCCGTCCATTGTATATCACAGAGAGGAACTACCACTTAAGTTACGTAACACTGGTCAGACTCAATTCAGTGCTGGCCAGCCTCATAATCTGTTTAGTTATGAAAGCAATCTCTGCTTCTTACCATTAACAAAAAGGCTGTTTGGGTCCAAGCTGTACCTCTCCATCTTGGTGAAACCATTGGTCTCATTTATGAATTTGCGATATATATTCACTCGATCAAAAGGGGGGGCTGTGGTGGTTTTACGGTAGCAGCAGACACTGTCTACTCCAGTGTTCTCTCCCTGATTCTCAGATCTGAGAATGAAAAGACACAACTTGAGACATATTCAGAGAAGCTGTAGAGGACCTTGGATGATTTCCCAGAAGTAAGGTCACATTTGGATCTATTGGCAGACCGAAAAGTAAAAGGTGAGGTCTTCCAGTTCAGACTTAATACAGGTCTGCTGCATTATTGCAACCTTGAGCTTTTTGTTGACGCTGGTTTGTTCTCTGACCATGCCAACTCACTTTTTTTTTTACCCCTGTTTCACTGTTTGGGATCCCCTCTGAGTATTTCCTAGCTGATTTCATTCTTGAATAGCCCCCTACAGTAGACAGACACATTTCTATCACCCTCTTTTTGGAGTTTTTCAGACAGCATTTTTAATCTGGTGTTTTTAAATTTAACTTCAAACCTGATTTTGGGAAGGCATGAGGGAAGCTAACCATGGAGCGTCCAGCACAATGACAGAAACTTAATATTGAACCAAACAAATGGTTTGGGATGAAAATGCTTTAAGGAGTCTTTTAAAGATTTGTAAATGTGATATGTTACAGACTGGAACTAAAAATAAACTATGGATTCTCACAAATATGACTAGATTTTGCGAGAAGTCCATATTAAAATACTTTTATCCCCATAACAGGGCATCAAGATATCACAAAAAAAGTCTCCATCCCATATTACTTACCTTAATGTTGATAAACTACAGTTGATCAAGTCAGGACCAATCTTGCTGGTGTTCAATATTTGTCCCAGCTAGGTGTAAAGAAAAAACTATGTATTTATTGCTGGTGGTAAAACATGACTGCCCATTATTTTATGAAAATTTAATGTGGAAGAGCTACTTGGGGTAAGTATGCATTTGTCTTCTTACCAAATTAACCAAGAATCGTTGTGTTGAGCTGAAAATCCTTGATGTGGGATTATCCATCTGTGGCCTATAGATCAAATTAGTTGCAATGAAGTTGACCGTAAAGCATTCAGTTGCCACTGGAGGTTTGGAAGTGGGAGAAACAGCTGGAAGAGGAATAATGGATGTCAGATACAGAAATCAGAACTGATAGTATATAATCTATTCATCAATCACTGTTTTGTATCTTATAGTTCCTGTCATGAATGTGGGGTTCAATGGTGCATTACAGAGGTTTAAGGACAAGCATATCCTTTTCACAGTTTGAAAGTAAATGTTATTCTCGATGTGTTGTGGTCCTGAAAAGGGCGAAAAGGACGAGTAAGGGCTGGAAACCAAGTTGTGCAAAAGAAAGATTGATGGGTTAAGCCTGGAGAACAAAAGACTCAAAAGGACAATGGATGCACTTTTCAAGAATGTAATGGGATACTACAGAGAAGGGAATCAGCTGCTCTGTAAAGTCCCAAGATGCGGAATAGGTTCACAAGATAGATTCTTCTTCAGTATTACAGAACTATTCCTAATGGTCATAATCAGAGTTGGAATATCAGAAATCAGTATCCACCCTCTATGTGAAGATTTCTACTGAACACACCACTTTGGGAATTGACATGGTGCACTGGGTGACATCTTTTACTAGAAAATCTTCTCAATACTTAATGTGCTTCTATATTGCTGTGGTTTCCACCTATTGTTTGTGGCAAAAGCCTCTAGGGCACAGTGCTTTACTTGCTCCGCAATCGATATATTTGGGACAGGGTTGTACATTTTAGGTTGTGTACCACAGTTGAAGTCGATGGCTCAAGAAACCTCTGTAAAGGTGTACTTACTGGTCGCAGGTGGTGCTTCATGATAATCTGAAATGGAAAAAGAGGTGTAAAAATGGAAAGAGAGTCACAAAAGTAGGCACAAGAGAACACTGGTATGGGAAGTCACTCTCAAGCTCTCCATCATGAGAAAAAGAAGAGACGATAAATTCTTTCTACACACTTCCAACTACTCCATCTCAACGAATCTCAGATAGTAGGGTTGCGGATTATTCTGAAGGTCTCCAAATAGCAGCAGTCTTTAGTTTAAGTAAGCTACGGTGACTAACTCTATATAGTGTCCACCTAGTACAGGGGTAGGCAACCTTGGCTCTTTTATGACTTGTGGACTTCAACTCCCAGAATTCCTGAGCCAGCTATGCTAGCTCAGGAATTCTGGGAGTTGAAGTCCACAAGTCATAAAAGATTCAAGGTTGCCTACCCCTGTACTAGGTGGACACTATATAGAGTTAGTCACCGTAGCTTACTTAAACTAAAGACTGCTGCTATTTGGAGACCTTCAGAATAAGCCAGCTATGCTAGCTCAGGAATTCTGGGAGTTGAAGTCCACAAGTCATAAAAGATTCAAGGTTGCCTACCGCTGACCTAGTCCAATGATTTCTTGTAAGAAGGTCCTGGGACAGTGTCAGAAAAAAATCATCGAGAAGAACAGAGCCAGCATGTCTGGACTGCAAAATTCCAAATGACCATGACGGGTTAATAAACATGTTGCCATTTACTGGTCATCTAAATTTCTGTAGCCTGAATTTGGTAGAACTCAAGAAAATTTTGTAGCCCTCTGGCAGCTGTCCATTATGTCACCGAGAGGAACTATCACTTAAGTTACTTAACATTGGTCAGAACCAATTCAGTACCAACCTCATAACCTCTTTAGCTATGAAAACAATCTCTGCTTCTTACCATTAACAAAAAGGCTGTTTGGGTCCAGGCTGTACATCTCCATCTTGGTGAAACCATTGGTCTCATTTATGAATTTGCGATATATGTTCACTCGATCAAAAGGGGGGGCTGTTGAGGTTTTACGGTAGCAGCAGACACTGTCTACTCCGGTGTTCTCTCCCTGATTCAGAGATCTGAGAATGAAAAGACACAACTTGAGACATATTCAGAAAAGCTGTAGAAGACTTTGGATGACTTCACAGAGGTAAAGTTTGGAAGTTTTCATACATTATTTTCTATGTGGTGTTTTTAAATTTTAAATTCCACTTCCAACCAGATTTTGGGAAGGCACAGAGGAAGCTAATCATGGGCCTCCAGCACAATGATCAGAAATGAATATTGAAGCAAATAAATGTTTTGGGATGAAGATGTGGAAAGGAGTCTTAGAGATATTTATACCAATGTGATACATTACAGACTGGAACTGAAACAAACTATGGGCTCTCTCAAATAGACTAAATGTTGCGAGACGTCATCCCCATTAGAGGGCATTTAGGTATCATAAAAAATCTCCATCCCATATTACTTACCTTAATGTTGATAAGCTACAGTTGATGAAATCAGGACCAATCTTGCTGGTGTTCAAAATTTGTCCCAACTAGGTTTAAAGGAAAAACTATGTATTTATTGCTGGTAGTAAAACTCTACTGCTGACTATTTTATGAAAATCTTATATGGAAGAGCTACTTGGGTAAGTATGCATTTGTCTCCTCACCAAGTTACTGAAGATTCCTTGCGTTGAGCTGAAGAACTTTGACTTTGGATTATCCATCTGTGGCCTATAGATCAAATTAGTTGCAATGAAGTTGACCGTAAAGCATTCGGTTGTCACTGAAGGTATGGAAGTGGGAGAAACAGCTGGAAGAGGAATAACGGATGTGAGATATGGAAACCAGAACGGATAGTATATAATCTATCCATCAATCACTGTTTTGTGTCTTATAGTTCCTATCCTGAACTTGAGGCTCAGTGGTGCATTACAGAAGTTTAAGAACAAGCAAATCCTTTTCCAAGCTGTTATTCTCGATCTGTTGTGGGTCCAGAAAAGGGCAAAAGGATGAGCAAGGGCTAGAAACCAAGTTGTGCAAAAGAAAGATTAATGGGTTAAGCCAGAGGTCTCCAACCTTTCCGGGTTTGAGGACCAAAGGAGAGCAGTTTCAAAATTGGTGAGCGCACTGGTTTTCCACTAGCAGTCCCGTTCGCGCATGCGGCATGCAGTGGTGCCATGCACATGCGTGAATGGGAGTGTAACCCCCATGGTGGCTAGAGGACTGTTCACGCATGGGCCAATGGGCCGTACAAACTGCCTGGGCTAGCGGCGCATGCACAAATGAGCTGCAAACATCTGCCTCATGCTAGGATCCCCGTTCGCACCCATGCACATGTGAAAACAGGGCAGCGTGCACTAGCATGAGTTGGGGGAAAATACGCGTGCATATGTGTGTGCACTGGCCAGCCGTTTCTGCGGCCCTCTGGCCAAGAGATTACAGCCCAATCCCGCACCCCAGACCATAGGTTGGGGACCCCTGGGTTAAGCCTTGAGAACAGGACTGAGCAGGAATATGGTAGCACTTTTCAAGAATGTAAAACAGTAGTATACAAAAGGGAATACGCTCAGTGGTGGGATTCAGCCGGTTCGCACCACTCCAGCAGAACTGGTAGCTAATTTTTTTGTTGCCAAGAATGGACTTCCGAAAGCGGCATCCATGCAGAGAACCAGTTATTCACATATCTGAATGCCACCACTGAATACACTGTTGAGTAAAGTCCCAAGATGCGGAATAAATTCACAAGGTGGATTCTTTTTCAGAGTTACAGAACTGTCCCTAATGGTCAAAATCAGAGTTGGAATATCAGAAATCAGTATCCGCTCTTTGTTTGAAGATCTCTACTGAACAGTCTATTTTGGGAATTGACATGGTGCACTGGTTGACAACTTATACTGTCTGGAAAATCTTCTTAATATTTAACCTGCTCCTACATCTCTGTGATTTCCTGACATTGTTTGTGGCAAAAGCCGCTAGAGCATACTACTTTACTTGCTCCGCAATTGGATTATTTGGGACAATATTAAACATTTAGATTGTGTACCAAAGTTGGAATCCATGGCTCAAGGAACCTTTGTAAAGGTGTACTTACTGGTCACAGGTGATGCTTCATGATAATCTGAAATGGAAAGAAAGTTGTAAAAATGGAAAGAGAGTCACAAAAGAAGGCACAAGAGAACACTGGTATGGGAAGTCACTCTCAAGTTCTCCACCATGAGAAAAAGAGACAATAAATTCCTCCTATATACTTCCAACTACTCCATCTCAATGAATCTCAGATAGTAGGGTTGCAAATTATTCTGAAGGTCTCCAAATAGGAGCAGTCTTTAGTTTAAGTAGACTACTGTGATTAACTCTATATATAGTGTCCACCTAGTATCCTAGTCCAATGATTTCTTGTAAGAAGGTCCTGGGACAGTGTCAGAAAAAAATCATCGAGAAGAACAGAGCCAGCATGTCTGGACTGCAAAATTCCAAATGACCATGACGGGTTAATAAACATATTGCAATCTAAATTTCTGTGGCTTGAATTTGGTAGAGGTCAAGAAAATCTTGTAGCCCTCTGGCAGCTGTCCATTGTGTCACCAAGAGGAACTATCACTTAAGTTACTTAACATTGGTCAGAAACGATTCAGTGCCAACCTCATAACCTCTTTAGCCATGAAAACAGTCTCTGCTTCTTACCATTAACAAAAAGGCTGTTTGGGTCCAGGCTGTATGTCTCCATCCTGGTGAAACCGTTGGTCTCATTTATGAATTTGTGATATATGTTCACTCGATCAAAAGGGGGGGCTATGGTGGTTTTACGGTAGCAGCAGACACTGTCTACTCCGGTGTTCTTGCCCTGATTCACAGATCTGAGAATGAAAAGACACAACTTGAGACATATTCAGAGAAGCTGTAGAGGACTTTGGATGATTTCTCAGAGGTAAGGTTTGGAAGTTTCATACAGTATTTTTAATCTGATGTTTTTAAATTTTAAATTCCACCTCAAACCTGATTTTGGGAAGGCACGGAGGAAGCTAATCATGGAGCCTCCAGCAGAATGATAGGAAAGGAATACTGAAGCAAACAAATGTTTTGGGATGAAGATGTGGAAAGGAGTCTTTTAGAGATTTTTATATCAGTATGATAAGTTACAGTCTGGAACTGAAGGAAAGTATGGATTCTCTCAAATAGACTAAGTGTTGCGAGACATCATGCCCATTAGAGGGCATTTAAGTATCACGAAAAAAATCTCCATCCCATATTACTTACCTTAATGTTGATAAGCTACAGTTGATGAAATCAGGACCAATCTTGCTGGTGTTCAAAATTTGTCCCAACTAGGTTTAAAAGAAAAACTATGTATTTATTGCTGGTAGTAAAACACTACTGCTGACTATTTTGTGAAAATCTTATGTGGAAGAGCTACTTGGGTAAGTATGCATTTGTCTCCTCACCAAGTTACCGAAAACTCCTTGCGTTGAGCTGAAGAGCTTTGATTTCGGATTATCCATCTGTGGCCTATAGATCAAATTTGTTGCAATGAAGTTGACCGTAAAGCATTCAGTTGCCACTGGAGGTTTGGAAGTGGGAGAAACAGCTGGAAGAGGAATAACGGATGTGAGATACAGAAACCAGAACTGATAATATATAATCTATCCATCAATCACTGTTTTATGTCTTATAGTTCCTATCATTAACTTGAGGCTCAGTGGTGCATTTCAGAAGTTTAAGAACAAGCAAATCCTTTTCACAAGCTGTTATTCTCCATCTGTTGTGGGTCCAGAAAAGGGCAAAAAGGACGAGCAAGGGCTGGAAACCAAGTTGTGCAAAAGAAAGATTAATGGGTTAAGCCAGAGGTCTCCAACCTTTCTGGGTTCGAGGACCAAAGAAGAGCAGTTTCAAAATTGGTGAGTGCACTGGTTTGCCACTAGCAGCCCCGTTTGCACATGCGGCATGCAGTGGCGCCATGCACATGCATGAATGGGAGCGCAACCCCCATGGGGGCTAAAGGACAGTTCACGCATGGGCCAACGGGCCACACAAATTGCCTGGGCTAGCAGCGCATGCACAAATGAGCTGCAAACACCTACTTCACGCTAGCATCCTTGTTCGCACCCATGCACATGTGCAGACGGGACAACGGGCACTAGTATGAGTGGGGGGAAATATGCGTGCACACGTGTGTGCATCGGCCAGTCGTTTCTACGGCCCACTGGCCAAGAGATTATGGCCCAGTCCCGCACCCCAGACCATAGGTTGGGGACCCCTGGGTTAAGCCTTGAGAATAGCAGGAATATGGTAGCACTTTTCAAGAATGTAAAACAGTAGTATACAAAGGGAATACGCTCAGTGGTGGGATTCAGCCAGTTTGCACCACTTCAGCAGAACTGGTAGCTAATTTTTTTGTTGCCAAGAATGGACTTCCGAAAGCGGCATCCATGCAGAGAACCAGTTATTCACATATTTGAATGCCACCACTGAATACACTGTTGAGTAAAGTCCCAAGATGCGGAATAAATTCACAAGGTGGATTCTTTTTCAGAGTTACAGAACTGCCCCTAATGGTCAAAATCAGAGTTGGAATATCAGAAATCAGTATCCGCTCTCTGTTTGAAGATCTCTACTGAACAGTCCATTTTGGGAATTGACATGGTGCACTGGTTGACAACTTTTACTGTCTGGAAAATCTTCTTAATATTTAACCTGCTCCTACATCTCTGTGGTTTCCTGACATTGTTTGTGGCAAAAGCCACTACAGCATACTACTTTACTTGCTCCGCAATTGGATTATTTGGGACAATATTAAACATTTAGATTGTGTACCAAAGTTGGAATCCCATGGCTCAAGGAACCTTTGTAAAGGTGTACTTACTGGTCGCAGGTGATGCTTCATGATAATCTGAAATGGAAAGAGAGTTGTAAAAATGGAAAGAGAGTCACAAAAGAAGGCACAAGAGAACACTGGTATGGAAAGTCACTCTCAAGTTCTCCACCATGAGAAAAAGAGACAATAAATTCCTTCTATATACTTCCAACTACTCCATCTCAACGAATCTCAGATAGTAGAGTTGCGGATTATTCTGAAGGTCTCCAAATAGCAGCAGTCTTTAGTTTAAGTAGACTACTGTGATTAACTCTATATATGGTGTCCACCTAGTCCAATGATTTCTTGTAAGAAGGTCCTGGGACAGTGTCAGAAAAAAATCATCAAGAAGAACAGAGCCAGCATGTCTGGACTGCAAAATTCCAAATGACCATGACGGGTTAATAAACATATTGCAATCTAAATTTCTGTGGCTTGAATTTGGTAGAGCTCAAGAAAATCTTGTAGCCCTCTGGCAGCTGTCCATTGTGTCACCGAGAGGAACTATCACTTAAGTTACTTAACATTGGTCAGAAACGATTCAGTGCCAACCTCATAACCTCTTTAGCCATGAAAACAATCTCTGCTTCTTACCATTAACAAAAAGGCTGTTTGGGTCCAGGCTGTATGTCTCCATCTTGGTGAAACCGTTGGTCTCATTTATGAATTTGTGATATATGTTCACTCGATCAAAAGGAGGGGCGGTGGTGATTTTACGGTAGCAGCAGACACTGTTTACTCCAGTGTTCTCTCCCTGATTTTCAGATCTGAGAATGAAAAGACACAACTTGAGACATATTCAGAGAAGCTGTAGAGGACTTTGGATGATTTCTCAGAGGTAAGGTTTGGAAGTTTTCATACAGTATTTTTAATCTGATGTTTTTAAATTTTAAATTCCATTTCAAACCTGATTTTGGGAAGGCACAGAGGAAGCTAATCGTGGACTTCTAGCACAATGATCGAAAATGAATATTGAAGCAAAGAAATGCTTTGGGATGAAGATGTGCAAAGGAGTCTTAGAGATATTTATATCAATGTGATACATTACAGACTGGAACTGAAACAAACTATGGGTTCTCTCAAATAGACTAAATGTTGCGAGACGTCATCCCCATTAGAGGGCATGATAAAAAATTTCCATCCCATATTACTTACCTTAATGTTGATAAACTACAGTTGATGAAATCAGGACCAATCTTGCTGGTGTTCAAAATCTGTCCCAACTAGGTTTAAAGGAAAAACTATGTATTTATTGCTGGTAGTAAAACACTACTGCTGACTATTTTGTGAAAATCTTATGTGGAAGAGCTACTTGGGTAAGTATGCATTTGTCTCCTCACCAAGTTACCGAAGACTCCTTGCGTTGAACTGAAGAGCTTTGACTTCGGATTATCCATCTGTGGCCTATAGATCAAATTAGTTGCAATGAAGTTGACCGTAAAGCATTCAGTTGCCACTGGAGGTTTGGAAGTGGGAGAAACAGCTGGAAGAGGAATAACGAATGTGAGATACAGAAACCAGAACTGATAATATATAATCTATCCATCAATCACTGTTTTGTGTCTTATTGTTCCTATCCTGAACTTGAGGCTCAGTGGTGCACTTCAGAAGTTTAAGAACAAGCAAATCCTTTTCACAAGCTGTTATTCTCGATCTGTTGTGGGTCCAGAAAAGGGCAAAAAGGACGAGCAAGGACTGGAAACCAAGTTGTGCAAAAGAAAGATTAATGGGTTAAGCCAGAGGTCTCCAACCTTTCTGGGTTCGAGGACCAAAGGAGATCAGTTTCAAAATGGGTGAGCGCACTGGATTGCCACTAGCAGCCCCGTTTGCACATGCGACATGCAATGGTGCCATGCACATGTGTGAATGGGAGCGTAACCCCCATGGTGGCTAGAAGACTGTTTACGCATGGGCCAACGGGCCGCACAAACTGCCTGGGCTAGCGGCGCATGCACAAATGAGCTGCAAACACCTGCTTCATGCTAGCATCCCCGTTCGCGCCCATGCACATGTGCAGGAGCATGAGTTGAGGGGAAATACACGTGCACACGTGTGTGCACCAGCCAGCCATTTCTGCGGCCCACTGGCCAAGAGATTATGGCCCAGTCCCGCACCCCAGACCATAGGTTGGGGACCCCTGGGTTAAGCCTTGAGAACAGGACTGAGCAGGAATATGGTAGCACTTTTCAAGAATGTAAAACAGTAGTATACAAAAGGGAATACGCTCAGTGGTGGGATTCAGCCGGTTCGCACCACTTCGGCAGAACTGGTAGCTAATTTTTTTGTTGCCAAGAATGGACTTCCGAAAGCGGCATCCATGCAGAGAACCAGTTATTCACATATTTGAATGCCACCACTGAATACACTGTTGAGTAAAGTCCCAAGATGCGGAATAAATTCACAAGGTGGATTCTTTTTCAGAGTTACAGAACTGCCCCTAATGGTCAAAATCAGAGTTGGAATATCAGAAATCAGTATCCGCTCTTTGTTTGAAGATCTCTACTGAACAGTCCATTTTGGGAATTGACATGGTGCACTGGTTGACAACTTTTACTGCCTGGAAAATCTTCTTAATATTTAACCTGCTCCTACATCTCTGTGGTTTCCTGACATTGTTTGTGGCAAAAGCCACTACAGCATACTACTTTACTTGCTCCGCAATTGGATTATTTGGGACAATATTAAACATTTAGATTGTGTACCAAAGTTGGAATCCCATGGCTCAAGGAACCTTTGTAAAGGTGTACTTACTGGTCGCAGGTGATGCTTCATGATAATCTGAAATGGAAAGAGAGTTGTAAAAATGGAAAGAGAGTCACAAAAGAAGGCACAAGAGAACACTGGTATGGAAAGTCACTCTCAAGTTCTCCACCATGAGAAAAAGAGACGATAAATTCCTCCTATATACTTCCAACTACTCCATCTCAACGAATCTCAGATAGTAGAGTTGCAAATTATTCTGAAGCTCTCCAAATAGGAGCAGTCTTTAGTTTTTTTTTGTTTTTTTTTATTAAAAAGTTTTATAAGTTTTACAAAAAAAACAAAACCATACAAAAACAAAAAACAACATATACAAAAAAAACTAAACATTACATAACAAAACCCCCTTTCCCCACCCCCCACCCAAACATCCCCCCTTTCCCCCCCCCCAGAGCTTCCCAGAGCAGAATATAGGCTTAATTAAAAAACAATTAAAAAATTATATTTATAGAAAAAGAAAATATAACATTAAAACATATATATATATATATAAAAATGAAGATTATGAAAAGGCTATATAATATTTTTTTATATCCAGTTTAAATTGTATAAATTTTATCCACTTATCCCAAACAGCAAGAAATTTCTCTTGCGTTTGTTCCTTTAAAAAAGCCGAAATCTTTGCCATTTCCGCCAAATGAGACACTTTAAGAAACCATTCCTGCAATGTAGGCAAAGATTCTTTCTTCCAAAATTGTCCTACTAACAGCCTCGCAGCTGTAATCAAATTTAACATCAATATAACCTCCTTTGTATCACAATCAGTAACTATACCCAACAAAAATAATTGCGGAGTAAAATTTACCCTCCTTCTAAAAATTCTTTGGATATTCCACCATATCTTAATCCAAAATGCTTTTATCTCTCTGCACGACCACCAAATGTGATAATAAGTAGCATCCATGCAACCACATCTCCAACATTTAGGTTGTAAGTCAGGATACATAAGAGACATTTTTTGTGGATCAAGGTGCCATCTATAAAACATTTTATAAAAATTCTCCCTTAAGTTCTGTGCTTGTGTAAATTTGACATTTCTGACCCAGATGGTTTCCCAGGTGTCCAATGAAACTGGCTCACCAAAGTTCTGCGCCCATCTGATCATACAATCTTTAATTAGTTCCGTTTCTGAATCCAATTCAACTAAAATCCCATAAATCCTCTTAATGTGGGTTTGTCTTTGATCCTTCACTTGCTTAATAAGATTTTCATCTTCTCTAAGAATACCCACCTTACAATCCACCTTCCATCTATCTACTAATTGCCTATATTGGAACCAAGAATAAATAATATTTTCTTGTGCTAACTCTTCCCGTGATTTTAACTGCCAGTTTTGTCCATCCCATCTAAGTAACTGTCTATAAGACACCATATCCATTTTAGCACCCCTTTTTATTCCTTCTATCGCATGCCAAGGTATAGCCCATAATGGTACTTTAAAATCACTTTTATAATATTTTCTCCAAGTCCTAAGTAAAGAAATTCTTAAAATATGAGCTTTAAAAACCCAATCCATTTTTTATTAAATATTAAATAGGCATGCCACCCAAAAAGTAAATCCCATCCCTCTAGATGGAGTATCTCAGGATTTGTCAAATTTATCCAGTCACTAATTAGTGTTAAAACCACCGCATCATAGTATAATTTCAAGTTTGGTGCCTTGAGTCCACCCCTCTCACTGAAGTCTTGCATAATTTTAAACTTAACCCTTGGTTTTTTCCCTGCCCAAATAAATTTGTTAAGGCCTTTCTGCCATTTGCTTAGATTAATCTCATTCTTCAAAATCGGTAACATTTGAAACAAAAAGAGAAACTTGGGTAGAATATTCATTTTTATCACTGCAATTCTTCCCATAAGGGATAATTGCAATTTCTCCCAATTCTTCAAGTCTTTCTGTACCCTAACCCACAACCTTTCATAGTTATTTTTAAATAATTTTGCATTAGAAACAGATAACATCACCCCCAGATATTTTACCTTATTAACAATTTCAAAACCCGTCAAGTTAACCAAGGTCTGCTTCTCCTGGCTAGTCATATTTTTAGATAAAATTTTAGTCTTGTTAACATTAATCTTAAAGCCCGAGACCAAACCATAATAATGAATCAATTGTAATAACTTTACTACAGAATGAGTAGGTTGCGACAAAGTAACCACCAAGTCATCCGCAAAAGCTCTTAACTTATATTCTTTTTTATTAACTTCTATTCCTTTAATTTCCTGCGACTCTCGAATTTTGATTAACAATATTTCCAATGTTAAAACAAACAGCAACGGTGATAAAGGAGCAGTCTTTAGTTTAAGTAGACTACTGTGACTAACTCTATATATGGTGTCCACCTAGTCCAATGATTTCTTGTAAGAAGGTCCTGGGACAGTGTCAGAAAAAAATCATCAAGAAGAACAGAGCCAGCATGTCTGGACTGCAAAATTCCAAATGACCATGACGGGTTAATAAACATGTTGCCATCTAAATTTCTGTGGCCTGAATTTGATAGAGCTCATGAAAATCTTGTAGCCCTCTGGCAGCTGTCCATTGTGTCACCGAGAGGAACTATCACTTAAGTTACTTAACATTGGTCAGAACGATTCAGTGCCAACCTCATAACCTCTTTAGCCATGAAAACAATCTCTGCTTCTTACCATTAACAAAAAGGCTGTTTGGGTCCAGGCTGTATGTCTCCATCCTAGTGAAACCATTGGTCTCATTTATGAATTTGCGATATATGTTCACTCGATCAAAAGGGGGGGCTGTGGTGGTTTTACGGTAGCAGCAGATACTGTCTACTCCGGTGTTCTTGCCCTGATTCACAGATCTGAGAATGAAAAGACACAACTTGAGACATATTCAGAGAAGCTGTAGAGGACTTTGGATGATTTCTCAGAGGTAAGGTTTGGAAGTTTTCATACAGTATTTTTAATCTGATGTTTTTAAATTTTAAATTCCACCTCAAACCTGATTTTGGGAAGGCACGGAGGAAGCTAACCATGGAGCCTCCAGCAGAATGACAGGAAATGAATACTGAAGCAAAGAAATGTTTTGGGGTGAAGATGTGGAAAGGAGTCTTTTAGAGATTTTTATATCAATGTGGTACGTTACAGTCTGGAACTGAAGGAAAGTATGGATTCTCTCAAATAGACTAAATGTTGCGAGACGTCATCCCCATTAGAGGGCGTTTAGGTATCACGAAAAAAATCTCCATCCCATATTACTTACTTTAATGTTGATAAGCTACAGCTGATGAAATCAGGACCAATCTTGCTGGTGTTCAATATCTTTCCCAACTAGGTTTAAAGGAAAAACTATGTATTTATTGCTGGTAGTAAAACACTACTGCTGACTATTTTGTAAAAATCTTATGTGGAAGAGCTACTTGGGTAAGTATGCATTTGTCTCCTCACCAAGTTACCGAAAACTCCTTGCGTTGAGCTGAAGAGCTTTGACTTGGGATTCTCCATCTGTGGTCTATAGATCAAATTAGTTGCAATGAAGTTGACCGTAAAGCATTCAGTTGCCACTGGAGGTTTGGAAGTGGGAGAAACAGCTGGAAGAGGAATAACGGATGTGAGATACGGAAACCAGAATTGATAGTATATAATCTATCCATCAATCACTGTTTTGCATTTTATGATGGCTGTCATGAACAGTGATGGTTCAATGTTGCATAACGTAAGATAATGGATCTCAGATACGGAATCCAAAGCTGATTATACATAATTTTTCCTTCCTTCCTTCCTTCCTTCCTTCCTTCCTTCCTTCCTTCCTTCCTTCCTTCCTTCCTTCCTTCCTTCCTTCCTTCCTTCCTTCTTTCCATTGTTGTTTTGCATTTTGCATATATGTCATGAACTCAGTTCAGTTGTGCATAACACAAGTTTGGCAACTAGTATATAGTTTCTATATTTTAAAATTACAGTTAATAGTCTACTTTTGACCGCAACTGAGTCCAACATTTCTGTGGCTAAGACAGTTCTTGTTAAGTGAATTTTGTCCTATTCTATGTCCTTTCTTGCCACTGTTGTTAAGTGAGTCATTGCAGTTGTTAAATTAGTAACACGTTTGCTAAGTGAATCTGACATCCCCATTGACTTTGCATGTCAGAAGGTTGTCAAAGGTGATCACATGACCCTGGGACACCACAACTATCATAAATGTATGACAGTTGCTAAGCATCCGAGTTTTGATCATATGACCATGGGAATGCTGCAATGGTCATAAGCATGAAAAATGATCATAAGTCACTTTTTTTTAGTGCCATTGGAACTTCAAACGGTCACTAAATGAATGGTTTAGAATGATTAGAGTGGTTTAGAATGGTCAAGTACTATCGGTACCTGTAATTTCCAATTAGTATTGGCTATTGATCGAACGTCTTGGCTATATGTGATATACTCTTTTATTTTATATCTTGCACAAATATTTTGCTCTCATTGTATCCAAACATTTGGATTGTACAAGTCATCCTCAACTTATAACCAGGTTGCCCCTGCTGTCTGAATGCTGGTCAAGTGGCCCCCACCCCCTGGATGTGGGGACAACTCACTGCCCACAGGACAAAATGTTATAACTTCAACGTGAGGGTTAAAAAAAAATATAAATAAGTGACTACATAAGTTATTGCTTTAGCTGAAACATTGATCTTTGAATATGACAGTAAACAGCTTCTCACTAATATTGTTTGGATTTAATGTTTGAATTTTAAATGTACTCGAAAGAGAACAAAGTGTTGCTTATCCCATGCTCCTGACCAACACGGTGTCTTCAAACAAAGAGAAAGTGGATGTGTGTGTGTGTGTGTGTGTGTGTGTGTGTGTGTGTGTGTGTGTGTTGGTCTTAAGAGACTGCTCCTGGAGACCATTAATGAATTGGGCAGAGCCAGCAGAAGTGCAGGAATGGCCCATGATAGAACTGCAGGAAGGAGTGGCAATTTGTTGTGCTTTGAGAGGCACCAAATCAGGGTGGATTTGGCATCTACTTCAAAAACACTATGAAAAGTGATACCCTTTGAGAGCTTAATAATAATAATAATAATAGTAGTAGTAGTAGTAATAATAATAAAGTTGGAAGGGATCTTGGAGGTCATCTAGTCCAACCCCCTGCTCAGGCAGGAAACCCTATACCATTTCGGAGAATATATCAGCTTTACAGTGAGGGAAATTATATTTCTGAACAGCTCTGCCAGTATCTATGCAATTTGCTGGCGTTCACTACAGGGTTGTACATTTATGTGTGTGATTTATTTATACTCCCTGTTTGTGATTTATTTATCCGATCGGCAGGTAATCACAGCAGAGCAGCACTGCTATGTGGTTCCTGCGTTTCCTGAGGAAGAATTAGAGCAGCCTGTACCTTACTGAAGTTCCACAACATTATTTCTGAAAAGTACAACTTGTTTGCATTTTCATGAGAAAATCTTTTCCAAAACACGCAATATACTTGAAGTATTTATTTCAGATGCGGGGGGGGGGGAGGAAAACAAAAGCCGAAGTCTGGAAATCAGTGAGGAGTAGATGTGCAGGTGATGAGGCTGGAAGGGAAGGACAGTGACTAGGTTTGGAAGGTTACTGCCAGTATGATTCCAGCAGGGGTGGGGTAAAATTGTGTACTGCATACATCAAAAATCTTATCATGTGACTGAAAAGCACTGGCTTGATCATTCAATTTTCATTGGATTACTGAGGTCTTGCATATTTTTTTATGATTTTACTGAAAATCTTGGATTTGAATCCAGATGTGCTGGGCAGTGGGACACAGCAAGAGGATTTACATAACTCAGGTCATGGAGGTAGAAAGATTTAGCATGAAAGATACACAGAAGCAGTCGGCACTGATCCATTGGCATCAACCCACCTGCACCAACCTGCCTGCGTCAACCCACCCTCACCACGTTGTCCCATTCCCTGCTGTATTGGCCTGCCAATGACAGATTGAATTTCTGGCTCAACAGTTGGATAGAGGGAAAAATTAAATTAGTTCTCAGCAAACATTATTCTTCATAAAATAATGGCATGAATGGAAAATTGCAATAATCTACTGTATTTTCCGGTGTATAAGATGACTTTCTAAAGCATTCAAATCGGCGCCGAAGTCAGGGGTCATCTTATACGCAAAGTCGTCTTATACGCCGGAAATTACGGTAGTTTCCAGTGTATAAGATGACTTTCTAGGCATGCAACTCGGCACCGAAGTCGGGGGTCGTCTTATACGTCGAGTCATCCTATACACCGGAAAATACGGTATATTCCAAGATCAAGGAATAAAGTTACTTTGTATGTATGTGTGTACACACATATACACATGCATACACACAATTATACAAGATTTCTTTATTGAAGAAAAGCTCATTAGTTTTCAATAGCGTAACTACCTTTTTAGTGTTAATCCAATTATAAATATTTCACTCCAATATACTCATCTTGAATTCTGGCTATTTTTAAAAGCAAATTACTCAGTTTTAAAAATGATTAGTTTTTGAAAATCATGAATTCATCCAAGATATAGTATTTAGCTATTTGCATTTCATTCACTTGCTCTTGCTGCCACCACCACTGAACTTGAATTTCAGGCCAAAATAATATTCATTCAGACATAAAAATAGTTCTTATTTTCGGCACATGTAACATCACTGGTTTGGTTGCCAGTGTTTCCAGTGCTGGTTGTCATCCTTAAAAAGTGCTGGTTGTCATCCTTAAAAGCCCCTTCATAGCTTGGGATTTGGTTACCTGATGGTTTATCTTTTTCCAGTTGTCTCTACTGCGCCTATCTCATCCAGCAGGATCACCATGCTCTGGGTCCCATCAATTAAGGAATGCCATTGTCAGGGACTAGCAGACATGCACCCTGGAACATTCTCCCTCCAGAAATTAGGATAACCCTGGACTTTCATAAGACCCTGAAACTATGTGCCCAGGCTTGGGCTCCCAAGTGTGTAAAGCGCCTCATTTCCTGATTATGTTGACAATGATGACTGTAATATCTCTTGGATGCTATTTGTATTTAATTTCTTTTGGGTATTATGTTTTAACTGTTTAAGTGTTTTATAAATTATTTGCTGCCCAGAGTCACTGGTTTGAGATGGGCAGGTGTACGAATAAATGAATGAGTGAATGAATAAATGAAAGTGAGGACTTCACCCTGAAGAACACTGCAGGCAGAATAGGCATTTTTAAAAATATAGGACATTCAGCATCACATATAGGAAACCATTAAGGTTCTGAAAGGCTAATTATTATTTTTCTAAACAGGATTGTCTACTTACTTTCAATTGGTGTTGTGCTAATAAATGTGGATGCAATATTGGCTTCACTCGTAAAGAGGTTTCCTTCAGGAAAGGAGGTGGTGGTGGTGGTATAAGTGCCTGCTGAGAGAGCAAACATAATCGAGTTGTATCCCAGTTATAGTATAAACCTAACACTGTCACTTCCTAATTTAGAATATGTTGCAAACAAAAAAAAAGCTTACCTCTCCTTGTCCCTGAAGTAGCAGTTGATATTATTTTTGTGGGAGGTGTAGAAGTCTTGAAAGTGCCCAAGCTTGTCATCACTGACTCATAGGGACTAACAGATTCTGTTTGGTGTGACACTGAAGAAACTAAAGTTGTGGGAGTAGTAGATGGCACACTGCTTGATAAAGCAGAAGCGGTGGTCCTTGGAAAACTGGGTGGCGTCATGCTACTCTCTGAAAAAGATGTGGAGGATACTGTGCTCTTTAGAGCTGGCGTTGAAGTTTTGGAAATAGAAGATGTTGTTCTGCTCTTTGCTGATGCCGTAAAAGGCACTGTACTCATTAGAGAGCTGGCTGCTTCTGATGTGATGGATGCAGGTGTGGTGGTGGCCTCTGGAGGAGTAGCTGTGGTAGTTGAATGTTGAGCAATGGTTTTTGAAGACCTCGTAGTCTTTATAGAGCCGGAGGTCACTGTGCTCTGTGGGGGAGTAGTGGCTGTCACTGTTGCAGTGGTTTCCAATGTGGTGGTTTGTGGAGAAGTAGTTAAGTATTCCGTGGTCATTGGAAGTTGAGTAGTGGTTTTTGTTTTACTAGTACTAATTGTAGAGCTTTCAGGGAAGGAGCTGGGGGGCTGTGTGCTCTCTGGGGCAGATGTGGCAGTTTGTGATGTGGTGGATTCATTCAATGTGGTTGCTGGTAATGCTGTGGAGAATGATGTGCTCTCTGGAATAGAACTTGTGGTTTCTGTACTGAGAGCAATTGTCATGCTACTCTTTCCAGCAGTTGTAGTGCTTTCTGGAGGAGAGGTAGCTGTTTCTGATGTGATGGATTCAGACATGGTGGTCTCTGGCAAAGGTGTGGAATATGCTGGCCTCTCCGAAGTGGAACCTGTATTTTCACTCCTAGCAGAAGTAATTGGGCTGCTCTTTTCTGAAATTGTTGTATGTTCTGTTCTCTCCAGAGGAGAGAAGGATGTTTGCTCAGGGGTAGAAAGAAATCCGGAACTGGTTGTGGGAGTGGTAGATGGTACACTACTTGATAAAGCAGAAGCAGTGGTCCTTGGCAAATTGGATGGTGTCATGCTACTCTCTGAAAAAGGTGTAGAGGATATTGTGCTTTTTAGAGCTGGCATTGTGGTTTTGGAAATAGAAGATGTTATTCTGCTCTTTGCTGATGCCGTAGAAGGCACTGTACTCATTGGAGAGCTGGCTGCTTCTGATGTGATGGATGCAGGTGTGGTGGTGGCCTCTGGAGGAGTAGCTGTGGTGGTTGAATGTTGAGCAATGGTTTTTGAAGACCTAGTAGTCTTTATAGAGCTAGAGGTCACTGTGCTCTGTGGGGGAGTAGTGGCTGTCACTGCTGTGGTGGTTTCCAATGTGGTGGTTTGTGGAGAAGTAGTTAAGTATTCCGTGGACATTGGAAGTTGAGTAGTGGTTTTTCTTTTACTAGTACTAATTGTAGAGCTTTCAGGGAAGGAGCTGGGGGGCTGTGTGCTCTCTGGAGCAGATGTGGCAGTTTGTGATGTGGTGGATTCATTCAATGTGGTTGCTGGTAATGCTGTGGAGACTGCCGTGCTCTCTGGAATAGTGGTTTCTCTACTAGGAGCAGTTGTCATCCTACTCTTTCCAGCAGTTGTAGTGCTTTCTGGAGGAGAAGTAGCTGTTTCTGATGTGATGGATTCAGACATGGTGGTCTCTAGCAAAGGTATGGAATATGCTGGCCTCTCCGAAGTGGAACCTGTACTTTCAGTACTAGCAGAAGTAATTGTGCTGCTCTTTTCTGAAATTGTTGTATGTTCTGTTTCCTCCAGAGGAGAGGTGGATGTTTGCTCCAGGGTAGAAAGAAATCCGGAACTGGTTGTGGGAGTGGTAGATGGTACACTACTTGATAAAGCAGAAGCGGTGGTCCTTGGCAAACTGGATGGCGTCATCCTACTCTCTGAAAAAGGTGTAAAGGATACTGTGCTTTTTAGAGCTGGCGATGTGGTTTTGGAAATAGAAGATGTTATTCTGCTCTTTGCTGATGCCGTAGAAGGCACTGTACTCATTGGAGAGCTGGCTGCTTCTGATGTGATGGATGCAGGTGTGGTGGTGGCCTCTGGAGGAGTAGCTGTGGTGGTTGAATGTTGAGCAATGGTTTTTGAAGACCTAGTCGTCTTTATAGAGTTGGAGGTCACTGTGCTCTGTGGGGGAGTAGTGGCTGTCACTGTTGTGGTGGTTTCCAATGTGGTGGTTTGTGGAGAAGTAGTTAAGTATTCCGTGGTCATTGGTAGTTGAGTAGTGGTTTTTGTTTTACTAGAAGTAATTGTAGAGCTTTCAGGGAAGGAGCTGGGGGGCTGTGTGCTCTCTGGGGCAGATGTGGCAGTTTGTGATGTGGTGGATTCATTCAATGTGGTTGCTGGTAATGCTGTGGAGACTGCTGTGCTCTCTGGAATAGTGGTTTCTGTACTGGGAGCAGTTGTCATGCTACTCTTTCCAGCAGTTCTCATGCTTTCTGGAGGAGAGGTAGCTGTTTTTGATGTGATGGATTCAGACATGGTGGTCTCTAGCAAACGTGTGGAATATGCTGGCCTCTCCGAAGTGGAACCTGTACTTTCAGTCCTAGCAGAAGTAATTGTGCTGCTCTTTTCTGAAATTGTTGTATATTCTGTTCTCTCCAGAGGAGAGGTGGATGTTTGCTCCGGAGTAGAAAGAAATCCGGAACTGGTTGTGGAAGTGGTAGATGGTACACTACTTGATAAAGCAGAAGCGGTGGTCCTTGGCAAACTGGATGGCGTCATCCTACTCTCTGAAAAAGGTGTAGAGGATACTGTGCTTTTTAGAGCTGGCGTTGTGGTTTTGGAAATAGAAGATGTTATTCTGCTCTTTGCTGATGCCGTAGAAGGCACTGTACTCATTGGAGAGCTGGCTTCTTCTGATGTGATGGATGCAGGTGTGGTGGTGGCCTCTGGAGGAGTAGCTGTGGTGATTGAATGTTGAGCAATGGTTTTTGAAGACCTAGTCGTCTTTATAGAGTTGGAGGTCACTGTGCTCTGTGGGGGAGTAGTGGCTGTCACTGTTGTGGTGGTTTCCAATGTGGTGGTTTGTGGAGAAGTAGTTAAGTATTCCGTGGTCATTGGAAGTTGAGTAGTGGTTTTTGTTTTACTAGTACTAATTGTAGAGCTTTCAGGGAAGGAGCTGGGGGGCTGTGTGCTCTCTGGGGCAGATGTGGCAGTTTGTGATGTGGTGGATTCATTCAATGTGGTTGCTGGTAATGCTGTGGAGAATGATGTGCTCTCTGGAATAGAACTTGTGGTTTCTGTACTGAGAGCAATTGTCATGCTACTCTTTCCAGCAGTTGTAGTGCTTTCTGGAGGAGAGGTAGCTGTTTCTGATGTGATGGATTCAGACATGGTGGTCTCTGGCAAAGGTGTGGAATATGCTGGCCTCTCCGAAGTGGAACCTGTATTTTCACTCCTAGCAGAAGTAATTGGGCTGCTCTTTTCTGAAATTGTTGTATGTTCTGTTCTCTCCAGAGGAGAGAAGGATGTTTGCTCAGGGGTAGAAAGAAATCCGGAACTGGTTGTGGGAGTGGTAGATGGTACACTACTTGATAAAGCAGAAGCAGTGGTCCTTGGCAAATTGGATGGTGTCATGCTACTCTCTGAAAAAGGTGTAGAGGATATTGTGCTTTTTAGAGCTGGCATTGTGGTTTTGGAAATAGAAGATGTTATTCTGCTCTTTGCTGATGCCGTAGAAGGCACTGTACTCATTGGAGAGCTGGCTGCTTCTGATGTGATGGATGCAGGTGTGGTGGTGGCCTCTGGAGGAGTAGCTGTGGTGGTTGAATGTTGAGCAATGGTTTTTGAAGACCTAGTAGTCTTTATAGAGCTAGAGGTCACTGTGCTCTGTGGGGGAGTAGTGGCTGTCACTGTTGTGGTGGTTTCCAATGTGGTGGTTTGTGGAGAAGTAGTTAAGTATTCCGTGGCCATTGGAAGTTGAGTAGTGGTTTTTGTTTTACTAGTACTAATTGTAGAGCTTTCAGGGAAGGGGCTGGGGGGTTGTGTGCTCTCTGGGGCAGATGTGGTAGTTTGTGATGTAGTGGATTCATTCAATGTGGTTGCTGGTAATGCTGTGGAGACTGCTGTGCTCTCTGGAATAGTGGTTTCTGTACTGGGAGCAGTTGTCATGCTACTCTTTCCAGCAGTTCTCATGCTTTCTGGAGGAGAGGTAGCTGTTTTTGATGTGATGGATTCAGACATGGTGGTCTCTAGCAAAGGTGTGGAATATGCTGGCCTCTCCGAAGTGGAACCTGTACTTTTAGTACTAGCAGAAGTAATTGTGCTGCTCTTTTCTGAAATTGTTGTATGTTCTGTTCTCTCCAGAGGAGAGGTGGATGTTTGCTCCGGGGTAGAAAGAAATCCGGAACTGGTTGTGGGAGTGGTAGATGGCACATTACTTGATAAAGCAGAAGCGGTGGTCCTTGGCAAACTGGATGGCGTCATGCCACTCTCTGAAAAAGGTGTAGAGGATACTGTGCTTTTTAGAGCTGGCGTTGTGGTTTTGGAAATAGAAGATGTTATTCTGCTCTTTGCTGATGCCGTAGAAGGCACTGTACTCATTGGAGAGCTGGCTGCTTCTGATGTGATGGATGCAGGTGTGGTGGTGGCCTCTGGAGGAGTAGCTGTGGTGGTTGAATGTTGAGCAATGGTTTTTGAAGACCTAGTAGTCTTTATAGAGCTGGAGGTCACTGTGCTCTGTGGGGGAGTAGTGGCTGTCACTGCTGTGGTGGTTTCCAATGTGGTGGTTTGTGGAGAAGTAGTTAAGTATTCCGTGGCCATTGGAAGTTGAGTAGTGGTTTTTGTTTTACTAGTACTAATTGTAGAGCTTTCAGGGAAGGAGCTGGGGGGCTGTGTGTTCTCTGGGGCAGATGTGGCAGTTTGGGATGTGGTGGATTCATTCAATGTGGTTGCTGGTAATGCTGTGGAGACTGCTGTGCTCTCTGGAATAGAACTTGTGGTTTCTGTACTGGGAGCAGTTGTCATCCTACTCTTTCCAGCAGTTGTAGTACTTTCTGGAGGAGAGGTAGCTGTTTCTGATGTGATGGATTCAGACATGGTGGTCTCTAGCAAAGGTATGGAATATGCTGGCCTCTCCGAAGTGGAACCTGTACTTTCAGTACTAGCAGAAGTAATTGTGCTGCTCTTTTCTGAAATTGTTGTATGTTCTGTTTGCTCCAGAGGAGAGGTGGATGTTTGCTCCGGGGTAGAAAGAAATCCGGAACTGGTTGTGGGAGTGGTAGATGGTACACTACTTGATAAAGTAGAAGCAGTGGTCCTTGGCAAACTGGATGGCGTCATCCTACTCTCTGAAAAAGGTGTAAAGGATACTGTGCTTTTTAGAGCTGGCGATGTGGTTTTGGAAATAGAAGATGTTATTCTGCTCTTTGCTGATGCCGTAGAAGGCACTGTACTCATTGGAGAGCTGGCTGCTTCTGATGTGATGGATGCAGGTGTGGTGGTGGCCTCTGGAGGAGTAGCTGTGGTGGTTGAATGTTGAGCAATGGTTTTTGAAGACCTAGTAGTCTTTATAGAGCTGGAGGTCACTGTGCTCTGTGGGGGAGTAGTGGCTGTCACTGCTGTGGTGGTTTCCAATGTGGTGGTTTGTGGAGAAGTAGTTAAGTACTGCTGTGGTGGTTTCCAATGTGGTGGTTTGTGAAGAAGTAGTTAAGTATTCCGTGGTCATTGGCAGTTGAGTAGTGGTTTTTGTTTTACTAGAAGTAATTGTAGAGCTTTCAGGGAAGGAGCTGGGGGGCTGTGTGCTCTCTGGGGCAGATGTGGCAGTTTGTGATGTGGTGGATTCATTCAATGTGGTTGCTGGTAATGCTGTGGAGACTGCTGTGCTCTCTGGAATAGTGGTTTCTGTACTGGGAGCAGTTGTCATGCTACTCTTTCCAGCAGTTCTCATGCTTTCTGGAGGAGAGGTAGCTGTTTTTGATGTGATGGATTCAGACATGGTGGTCTCTAGCAAACGTGTGGAATATGCTGGCCTCTCCGAAGTGGAACCTGTACTTTCAGTACTAGCAGAAGTAATTGTGCTGCTCTTTTCTGAAATTGTTGTATATTCTGTTCTCTCCAGAGGAGAGGTGGATGTTTGCTCCGGAGTACAAAGAAATCCGGAACTGGTTGTGGAAGTGGTAGATGGTACACTACTTGATAAAGCAGAAGCGGTGGTCCTTGGCAAACTGGATGGCGTCATTCTACTCTCTGAAAAAGGTGTAGAGGATACTGTGCTTTTTAGAGCTGGCGTTGTGGTTTTGGAAATAGAAGATGTTATTCTGCTCTTTGCTGATGCCGTAGAAGGCACTGTACTCATTGGAGAGCTGGCTTCTTCTGATGTGATGGATGCAGGTGTGGTGGTGGCCTCTGGAGGAGTAGCTGTGGTGGTTGAATGTTGAGCAATGGTTTTTGAATACCTAGTAGTCTTTATAGAGCTGGAGGTCACTGTGCTCTGTGGGGGAGTAGTGGCTGTCACTGCTGTGGTGGTTTCCAATGTGGTGGTTTGTGGAGAAGTAGTTAAGTAGTCCGTGGACATTGGAAGTTGAGTAGTGGTTTTTGTTTTACTAGTACTAATTGTAGAGCTTTCAGGGAAGGAGCTGGGGGGCTGTCTGCTCTCTGGGGCAGATGTGGCAGTTTGTGATGTGGTGGATTCATTCAATGTGGCTGCTGGTAATGCCGTGGAGACTGCTGTGCTCTCTGGAATAGAACTTGTGGTTTCTGTACTGGGAGCAGTTGTCATCCTACTCTTTCCAGCAGTTGTCGTGCTTTCTGGAGGAGAGGTAGCTGTTTCTGATGTGATGGATTCAGACATGGTGGTCTCTAGCAAAGGTGTGGAATATGCTGGCCTCTCCGAAGTGGAACCTGTACTTTCAGTACTAGCAGAAGTAATTGTGCTGCTCTTTTCTGAAATTGTTGTATGTTCTGTTTCCTCCAGAGGAGAGGTGGATGTTTGCTCCAGGGTAGAAAGAAATCCCAGAGGAGAGGTGGATGTTTGCTCCGGGGTAGAAAGAAATCCGGAACTGGTTGTGGGAGTGGTAGATGGCACATTACTTGATAAAGAAGAAGCGGTGGTCCTTGGCAAACTGGATGGCGTCATGCTACTCTCTGAAAAATGTGTAGAGGATACTGTGCTTTTTAGAGCTGGCGTTGTGGTTTTGGAAATAGAAGATGTTATTCTGCTCTTTGCTGATGCCGTAGAAGGCACTGTACTCATTGGAGAGCTGGCATGCTTCTGATGTGATGGAGCGGTGGGTGGCGGGCCTTGGAGGAGTAGCTGTGTGTTGATTTGAGGCATGGTTTTTGAAGACCTAGTAGTCTTTATAGGCTGGAGGTCACTGTGCTCCTGTGGGGGAGTAAGTGGGGCTGTCCTGCTGTGGTGGTTTTCCCAATGTGGTGGTTTGTGGAGAAGTAGTTAAGTAGTCCGTGGTCATTGGACGTTGAGTAGTGGTTTTTGTTTTACTAGTACTAATTGTAGAGCTTTCAGGGAAGGAGCTGGGGGGCTGTGTGCTCTCTGGGGCAGATGTGGCAGTTTGTGATGTGCTGGATTCATTCAATGTGGTTGCTGGTAATGCTGTGGAGACTGCTGTGCTCTCTGGAATAGAACTTGTGGTTTCTGTACTGGGAGCAGTTGTCATCCTACTCTTTCCAGCAGTTGTCATGCTTTCTGGAGGAGAGGTAGCTGTTTCTGTTGTGATGGATTCAGACATTGTGGTCTCTAGCAAAGGTGTGGAATATGCTGGCCTCTCCGAAGTGGAACTTGTACTTTCAGTACTAGCAGAAGTAATTGTGCTGCTCTTTTCTGAAATTGTTGTATGTTCTGTTCTCTCCAGAGGAGAGGTGGATGTTTGCTCCGGGGTAGAAAGAAATCCGGAACTGGTTGTGGGAGTGATAGATGGCATACTACTTGATAAAGCAGTGGTAGATGGCACACTACTTGATAAAGCAGAAGCGGTGGTCCTTTGCAAACTGGATGGTGTCATGCTACTCTCTGAAAAAGGTGTAGAGGATACTGTGCTTTTTAGAGCTGGCGTTGTGGTTTTGGAAATAGAAGATGTTATTCTGCTCTTTGCTGATGCCGTAGAAGGCACTGTACTCATTGGAGAGCTGGCTTCTTCTGATGTGATGGATGCAGGTGTGGTGGTGGCCTCTGGAGGAGTAGCTGTGGTGATTGAATGTTGAGCAATGGTTTTTGAAGACCTAGTCGTCTTTATAGAGTTGGAGGTCACTGTGCTCTGTGGGGGAGTAGTGGCTGTCACTGTTGTGGTGGTTTCCAATGTGGTGGTTTGTGGAGAAGTAGTTAAGTATTCCGTGGCCATTGGAAGTTGAGTAGTGGTTTTTGTTTTACTAGTACTAATTGTAGAGCTTTCAGGGAAGGGGCTGGGGGGTTGTGTGCTCTCTGGGGCAGATGTGGTAGTTTGTGATGTAGTGGATTCATTCAATGTGGTTGCTGGTAATGCTGTGGAGACTGCTGTGCTCTCTGGAATAGAACTTGTGGTTTCTGTACTGGGAGCAATTGTCATGCTACTCTTTCCAGTAGTTGTAGTGGTTTCTGGAGGAGAGGTAGCTCTTTCTGATGTGATGGATTCAGACATGGTGGTCTCTGGCAACGGTGTGGAGTATGCTGGCCTCTCCGAAGTGGAACCTGTACTTTCAGTACTAGCAGAAGTAATTGTGCTGCTCTTTTCTGAAATTGTTGTATATTCTGTTCTCTCCAGAGGAGAGGTGGATGTTTGCTCCGGAGTACAAAGAAATCCGGAACTGGTTGTGGAAGTGGTAGATGGTACACTACTTGATAAAGCAGAAGCGGTGGTCCTTGGCAAACTGGATGGCGTCATTCTACTCTCTGAAAAAGGTGTAGAGGATACTGTGCTTTTTAGAGCTGGCGTTGTGGTTTTGGAAATAGAAGATGTTATTCTGCTCTTTGCTGATGCCGTAGAAGGCACTGTACTCATTGGAGAGCTGGCTGCTTCTGATGTGATGGATGCAGGTGTGGTGGTGGCCTCTGGAGGAGTAGCTGTGGTGGTTGAATGTTGAGCAATGGTTTTTGAAGACCTAGTAGTCTTTATAGAGCTGGAGGTCACTGTGCTCTGTGGGGGAGTAGTGGCTGTCACTGTTGTGGTGGTTTCCAATGTGGTGGTTTGTGGAGAAGTAGTTAAGTATTCCGTGGTCATTGGTAGTTGAGTAGTGGTTTTTGTTTTACTAGAAGTAATTGTAGAGCTTTCAGGGAAGGAGCTGGGGGGCTGTGTGCTCTCTGGGGCAGATGTGGCAGTTTGTGATGTGGTAGATTCATTCAATGTGGTTGATGGTAATGCTGTGGAGACTGCTGTGCTCTCTGGAATAGAACTTGTGGTTTCTGTACTGGGAGCAGTTGTCATCCTACTCTTTCCAGCAGTTGTAGTGCTTTCTGGAGGAGAAGTAGCTGTTTCTGATGTGATGGATTCAGACATGGTGGTCTCTGGCAACGGTGTGGAATATGCTGACCTCTCCAATGTGGAACCTGTACTTTCAGTACTAGCAGAAGTAATTGTGCTGCTCTTTTCTGAAATTGTTGTATGTTCTGTTCTCTCCAGAGGAGAGGTGGATGTTTGCTCGGGGGTAGAAAGATGTCCGGAACTGGTTGTGGGAGTGGTAGATGGCATACTACTTGATAAAGCAGTGGTAGATGGCACACTACTTGATAAAGCAGAAGCGGTGGTCCTTGGCAAATTGGATTGCGTCATGCTACTCTCTGAAAAAGATGTAGAGGATACTGTGCTCTTTAGAGCTGGTGTTGTGGTTTTGGAAATAGAAGATGTTATTCTGCTCTTTAGTGATGCTGTAGAAGAAACTGTACTCATTGGTGAGCTGGCTGCTTCTGATGTGATGGATGCAGGTGTGGTGGTTGCCTCTGGAGGAGTAGCTGTGGTGATTGAATGTTGAGCAATGTTTTTTGAAGATCTAGTAGTCTTTCTAATGCTGGAGGTCACAGTACTCTGTGGAGGAGAAGTGGCTGTCACTGTTGTGGTTGTTTCCAATGTGGTGGTTTGTGGAGAAGTAGTTAAGTATTCCGTGGTCATTGGAAGTTGAGTAGTGGTTTTTGTTTTACTAGTACTAATTGTAGAGCTTTCAGGGAAGGAGCTGGGGGGCTGTGTGCTCTCTGGGGCAGATGTGGCAGTTTGTGATGTGCTGGATTCATTCAATGTGGTTGCTGGTAATGCTGTGGAGACTGCTGTGCTCTCTGGAATAGAACTTGTGGTTTCTGTACTGGGAGCAGTTGTCATCCTACTCTTTCCAGCAGTTGTCATGCTTTCTGGAGGAGAGGTAGCTGTTTCTGTTGTGATGGATTCAGACATTGTGGTCTCTAGCAAAGGTGTGGAATATGCTGGCCTCTCCGAAGTGGAACTTGTACTTTCAGTACTAGCAGAAGTAATTGTGCTGCTCTTTTCTGAAATTGTTGTATGTTCTGTTCTCTCCAGAGGAGAGGTGGATGTTTGCTCCAGGGTAGAAAGAAATCCGGAACTGGTTGTGGGAGTGGTAGATGGCATACTACTTGATAAAGCAGTGGTAGATGACACACTACTTGATAAAGCAGAAGCGGTGGTCCTTTGCAAACTGGATGGTGTCAAGCTACTCTCTGAAAAAGGTGTAGAGGATACTGTGCTTTTTAGAGCTGGTGTTGTGGTTTTGGAAATAGAAGATGTTATTCTGCTCTTTCCTGATGCCGTAGAAGGCACTGTACTCATTGGAGAGCTGGCTGCTTCTGATGTGATGGATGCAGGTGTGGTGGTGGCCTCTGGAAGAGTAGCTGTGGTGGTTGAATGTTGAGCAATGGTTTTTGAAGACCTAGTAGTCTTTATAGAGCTGGAGGTCATTGTGCTCTGTGGGGGAGTAGTGGCTGTCACTGTTGTGGTGGTTTCCAATGTGGTGGTTTGTGGAGAAGTAGTTAAGTATTCCGTGGTCATTGGAAGTTGAGTAGTGGTTTTTGTTTTACTAGTATTAATTGTAGAGCTTTCAGGGAAGGAGCTGGGGGGCTGTGTGCTCTCTGGGGCAGATGTGGCAGTTTGTGATGTGGTAGATTCATTCAATGTGGTTGATGGTAATGCTGTGGAGACTGCTGTGCTCTCTGGAATAGAACTTGTGGTTTCTGTACTGGGAGCAGTTGTCATCCTACTCTTTCCAGCAGTTGTAGTGCTTTCTGGAGGAGAAGTAGCTGTTTTCTGATGTGTGATGGATTCAGACATGGTGGTCTCTAGCAAAGGTGTGGAATATGCTGGCCTCTCCGAAGTGGAACCTGTACTTTTAGTACTAGCAGAAGTAATTGTGCTGCTCTTTTCTGAAATTGTTGTATGTTCTGTTCTCTCCAGAGGAGAGGTGGATGTTTGCTCCGGGGTAGAAAGAACTCCGGAACTGGTTGTGGGAGTGGTAGATGGCACATTACTTGATAAAGCAGAAGCGGTGGTCCTTGGCAAACTGGATGGCGTCATGCTACTCTCTGAAAAATGTGTAGAGGATACTGTGCTTTTTAGAGCTGGCGTTGTGTTTTGGAAATAGAGATGTTTTCTGCTCTGTTGCTGATGCCAGGGTAAGAAGGCCTGTACTCATCTGAGAGCTGGCGGCCTGCTTCTGATGTGATTGATGCAGGTGTGGGTGGTGTCATCTGGAGGCGTAGCTGTGGTGTTGAATGTTGAGGGGCAATGGTTTTTGAAGACCTAGTAGTCTTTATAGAGCTGGAGGTCACTGTGCTCTGTGGGGGAGTAGTGGCTGTCACTGCTGTGGTGGTTTCCAATGTGGTGGTTTGTGAAGAAGTAGTTAAGTATTCCGTGGTCATTGGCAGTTGAGTAGTGGTTTTTGTTTTACTAGAAGTAATTGTAGAGCTTTCAGGGAAGGAGCTGGGGGGCTGTGTGCTCTCTGGGGCAGATGTGGCAGTTTGTGATGTGGTGGATTCATTCAATGTGGTTGCTGGTAATGCTGTGGAGACTGCTGTGCTCTCTGGAATAGTGGTTTCTGTACTGGGAGCAGTTGTCATGCTACTCTTTCCAGCAGTTCTCATGCTTTCTGGAGGAGAGGTAGCTGTTTTTGATGTGATGGATTCAGACATGGTGGTCTCTAGCAAAGGTGTGGAATATGCTGGCCTCTCCGAAGTGGAACCTGTACTTTCAGTACTAGCAGAAGTAATTGTGCTGCTCTTTTCTGAAATTGTTGTATATTCTGTTCTCTCCAGAGGAGAGGTGGATGTTTGCTCCAGGGTAGAAAGAAATCCGGAACTGGTTGTGGAGTGGTAGATGGCATACTACTTGATAAAGCAGTGGTAGATGACACACTACTTGATAAAGCAGAAGCGGTGGTCCTTTGCAAACTGGATGGTGTCAAGCTACTCTCTGAAAAAGGTGTAGAGGATACTGTGCTTTTTAGAGCTGGTGTTGTGGTTTTGGAAATAGAAGATGTTATTCTGCTCTTTCCTGATGCCGTAGAAGGCACTGTACTCATTGGAGAGCTGGCTGCTTCTGATGTGATGGATGCAGGTGTGGTGGTGGCCTCTGGAAGAGTAGCTGTGGTGGTTGAATGTTGAGCAATGGTTTTTGAAGACCTAGTAGTCTTTATAGAGCTGGAGGTCATTGTGCTCTGTGGGGGAGTAGTGGCTGTCACTGTTGTGGTGGTTTCCAATGTGGTGGTTTGTGGAGAAGTAGTTAAGTATTCCGTGGTCATTGGAAGTTGAGTAGTGGTTTTTGTTTTACTAGTACTAATTGTAGAGCTTTCAGGGAAGGAGCTGGGGGGCTGTGTGCTCTCTGGGGCAGATGTGGCAGTTTGTGATGTGCTGGATTCATTCAATGTGGTTGCTGGTAATGCTGTGGAGACTGCTGTGCTCTCTGGAATAGAACTTGTGGTTTCTGTACTGGGAGCAGTTGTCATCCTACTCTTTCCAGCAGTTGTCGTACTTTCTGGAGGAGAGGTAGCTGTTTCTGATGTGATGGATTCAGACATTGTGGTCTCTAGCAAAGGTGTGGAATATGCTGGCCTCTCCGAAGTGGAACTTGTACTTTCAGTACTAGCAGAAGTAAGTGTGCTGCTCTTTTCTGAAATTGTTGTATGTTCTGTTCTCTCCAGAGGAGAGGTGGATGTTTGCTCCGGGGTAGAAAGAAATCCGGAACTGGTTGTGGGAGTGGTAGATGGCATACTACTTGATAAAGCAGTGGTAGATGGCACACTACTTGATAAAGCAGAAGCGGTGGTCCTTTGCAAACTGGATGGTGTCATGCTACTCTCTGAAAAAGGTGTAGAGGATACTGTGCTTTTTAGAGCTGGCGTTGTGGTTTTGGAAATAGAAGATGTTATTCTGCTCTTTGCTGATGCCGTAGAAGGCACTGTACTCATTGGAGAGCTGGCTTCTTCTGATGTGATGGATGCAGGTGTGGTGGTGGCCTCTGGAGGAGTAGCTGTGGTGATTGAATGTTGAGCAATGGTTTTTGAAGACCTAGTCGTCTTTATAGAGTTGGAGGTCACTGTGCTCTGTGGGGGAGTAGTGGCTGTCACTGTTGTGGTGGTTTCCAATGTGGTGGTTTGTGGAGAAGTAGTTAAGTATTCCGTGGACATTGGAAGTTGAGTAGTGGTTTTTGTTTTACTAGTACTAATTGTAGAGCTTTCAGGGAAGGGGCTGGGGGGTTGTGTGCTCTCTGGGGCAGATGTGGTAGTTTGTGATGTAGTGGATTCATTCAATGTGGTTGCTGGTAATGCTGTGGAGACTGCTGTGCTCTCTGGAATAGAACTTGTGGTTTCTGTACTGGGAGCAATTGTCATGCTACTCTTTCCAGTAGTTGTAGTGGTTTCTGGAGGAGAGGTAGCTCTTTCTGATGTGATGGATTCAGACATGGTGGTCTCTGGCAACGGTGTGGAGTATGCTGGCCTCTCCGAAGTGGAACCTGTACTTTCAGTACTAGCAGAAGTAATTGTGCTGCTCTTTTCTGAAATTGTTGTATATTCTGTTCTCTCCAGAGGAGAGGTGGATGTTTGCTCCGGAGTAGAAAGAAATCCGGAACTGGTTGTGGAAGTGGTAGATGGTACACTACTTGATAAAGCAGAAGCGGTGGTCCTTGGCAAACTGGATGGCGTCATCCTACTCTCTGAAAAAGGTGTAGAGGATACTGTGCTTTTTAGAGCTGGCGTTGTGGTTTTGGAAATAGAAGATGTTATTCTGCTCTTTGCTGATGCCGTAGAAGGCACTGTACTCATTGGAGAGCTGGCTGCTTCTGATGTGATGGATGCAGGTGTGGTGGTGGCCTCTGGAGGAGTAGCTGTGGTGGTTGAATGTTGAGCAATGGTTTTTGAAGACCTAGTAGTCTTTATAGAGCTGGAGGTCACTGTGCTCTGTGGGGGAGTAGTGGCTGTCACTGTTGTGGTGGTTTCCAATGTGGTGGTTTGTGGAGAAGTAGTTAAGTATTCCGTGGTCATTGGAAGTTGAGTAGTGGTTTTTGTTTTACTAGTATTAATTGTAGAGCTTTCAGGGAAGGAGCTGGGGGGCTGTGTGCTCTCTGGGGCAGATGTGGCAGTTTGTGATGTGGTAGATTCATTCAATGTGGTTGATGGTAATGCTGTGGAGACTGCTGTGCTCTCTGGAATAGAACTTGTGGTTTCTGTACTGGGAGCAGTTGTCATCCTACTCTTTCCAGCAGTTGTAGTGCTTTCTGGAGGAGAAGTAGCTGTTTCTGATGTGATGGATTCAGACATGGTGGTCTCTGGCAACGGTGTGGAATATGCTGACCTCTCCAATGTGGAACCTGTACTTTCAGTACTAGCAGAAGTAATTGTGCTGCTCTTTTCTGAAATTGTTGTATGTTCTGTTCTCTCCAGAGGAGAGGTGGATGTTTGCTCCGGGGTAGAAAGAAATCCGGAACTGGTTGTGGGAGTGGTAGATGGCATACTACTTGATAAAGCAGAAGCGGTGGTCCTTGGCAAATTGGATGGTGTCATACTACTCTCTGAAAAAGATGTAGAGGATACTGTGCTTTTTAGAGCTGGCGTTGTGGTTTTGGAAATAGAAGATGTTATTCTGCTCTTTGCTGATGCCGTAGAAGGCACTGTACTCATTGGAGAGCTGGCTGCTTCTGATGTGATGGATGCAGGTGTGGTGGTGGCCTCTGGAGGAGTAGCTGTGGTGGTTGAATGTTGAGCAATGGTTTTTGAAGACCTAGTAGTCTTTATAGAGCTGGAGGTCACTGTGCTCTGTGGGGGAGTAGTGGCTGTCACTGTTGTGGTGGTTTCCAATGTGGTGGTTTGTGGAGAAGTAGTTAAGTATTCCGTGGTCATTGGAAGTTGAGTAGTGGTTTTTGTTTTACTAGTACTAATTGTAGAGCTTTCAGGGAAGGAGCTGGGGGGCTGTCTGCTCTCTGGGGCAGATGTGGCAGTTTGTGATGTGGTGGATTCATTCAATGTGGTTGCTGGTAATGCCGTGGAGACTGCTGTGCTCTCTGGAATAGAACTTGTGGTTTCTGTACTGGGAGCAGTTGTCATCCTACTCTTTCCAGCAGTTGTCGTGCTTTCTGGAGGAGAGGTAGCTGTTTCTGATGTGATGGATTCAGACATGGTGGTCTCTAGCAAAGGTGTGGAATATGCTGGCCTCTCCGAAGTGGAACCTGTACTTTCAGTACTAGCAGAAGTAATTGTGCTGCTCTTTTCTGAAATTGTTGTATGTTCTGTTCTCTCCAGAGGAGAGGTGGATGTTTGCTCCGGGGTAGAAAGAAATCCGGAACTGGTTGTGGGAGTGGTAGATGGCACATTACTTGATAAAGCAGAAGCGGTGGTCCTTGGCAAACTGGATGGCGTCATGCTACTCTCTGAAAAATGTGTAGAGGATACTGTGCTTTTTAGAGCTGGCGTTGTGGTTTTGGAAATAGAAGATGTTATTCTGCTCTTTGCTGATGCCGTAGAAGGCACTGTACTCATTGGAGAGCTGGCTGCTTCTGATGTGATGGATGCAGGTGTGGTGGTGGCCTCTGGAGGAGTAGCTGTGGTGGTTGAATGTTGAGCAATGGTTTTTGAAGACCTAGTAGTCTTTATAGAGCTGGAGGTCACTGTGCTCTGTGGGGGAGTAGTGGCTGTCACTGCTGTGGTGGTTTCCAATGTGGTGGTTTGTGGAGAAGTAGTTAAGTATTCCGTGGACATTGGAAGTTGAGTAGTGGTTTTTGTTTTACTAGTACTAATTGTAGAGCTTTCAGGGAAGGAGCTGGGGGGCTGTGTGCTCTCTGGGGCAGATGTGGCAGTTTGTGATGTGGTGGATTCATTCAATGTGGTTGCTGGTAATGCCGTGGAGACTGCTGTGCTCTCTGGAATAGAACTTGTGGTTTCTGTACTGGGAGCAGTTGTCATCCTACTCTTTCCAGCAGTTGTCGTGCTTTCTGGAGGAGAGGTAGCTGTTTCTGATGTGATGGATTCAGACATGGTGGTCTCTAGCAAAGGTGTGGAATATGCTGGCCTCTCCGAAGTGGAACCTGTACTTTCAGTACTAGCAGAAGTAATTGTGCTGCTCTTTTCTGAAATTGTTGTATGTTCTGTTCTCTCCAGAGGAGAGGTGGATGTTTGCTCCAGGGTAGAAAGAAATCCGGAACTGGTTGTGGGAGTGGTAGATGGCATACTACTTGATAAAGCAGTGGTAGATGGCACACTACTTGATAAAGCAGAAGCGGTGGTCCTTTGCAAACTGGATGGTGTCAAGCTACTCTCTGAAAAAGGTGTAGAGGATACTGTGCTTTTTAGAGCTGGCGTTGTGGTTTTGGAAATAGAAGATGTTATTCTGCTCTTTCCTGATGCCGTAGAAGGCACTGTACTCATTGGAGAGCTGGCTGCTTCTGATGTGATGGATGCAGGTGTGGTGGTGGCCTCTGGAAGAGTAGCTGTGGTGGTTGAATGTTGAGCAATGGTTTTTGAAGACCTAGTAGTCTTTATAGAGCTGGAGGTCATTGTGCTCTGTGGGGGAGTAGTGGCTGTCACTGTTGTGGTGGTTTCCAATGTGGTGGTTTGTGGAGAAGTAGTTAAGTATTCCGTGGTCATTGGAAGTTGAGTAGTGGTTTTTGTTTTACTAGTACTAATTGTAGAGCTTTCAGGGAAGGAGCTGGGGGGCTGTGTGCTCTCTGGGGCAGATGTGGCAGTTTGTGATGTGCTGGATTCATTCAATGTGGTTGCTGGTAATGCTGTGGAGACTGCTGTGCTCTCTGGAATAGAACTTGTGGTTTCTGTACTGGGAGCAGTTGTCATCCTACTCTTTCCAGCAGTTGTCATGCTTTCTGGAGGAGAGGTAGCTGTTTCTGATGTGATGGATTCAGACATTGTGGTCTCTAGCAAAGGTGTGGAATATGCTGGCCTCTCCGAAGTGGAACTTGTACTTTCAGTACTAGCAGAAGTAATTGTGCTGCTCTTTTCTGAAATTGTTGTATGTTCTGTTCTCTCCAGAGGAGAGGTGGATGTTTGCTCCAGGGTAGAAAGAAATCCGGAACTGGTTGTGGGAGTGGTAGATGGCATACTACTTGATAAAGCAGTGGTAGATGGCACACTACTTGATAAAGCAGAAGCGGTGGTCCTTTGCAAACTGGATGGTGTCAAGCTACTCTCTGAAAAAGGTGTAGAGGATACTGTGCTTTTTAGAGCTGGCGTTGTGGTTTTGGAAATAGAAGATGTTATTCTGCTCTTTCCTGATGCCGTAGAAGGCACTGTACTCATTGGAGAGCTGGCTGCTTCTGATGTGATGGATGCAGGTGTGGTGATGGCCTCTGGAAGAGTAGCTGTGGTGGTTGAATGTTGAGCAATGGTTTTTGAAGACCTAGTAGTCTTTATAGAGCTGGAGGTCATTGTGCTCTGTGGGGGAGTAGTGGCTGTCACTGTTGTGGTGGTTTCCAATGTGGTGGTTTGTGGAGAAGTAGTTAAGTATTCCGTGGTCATTGGACGTTGAGTAGTGGTTTTTGTTTTACTAGTACTAATTGTAGAGCTTTCAGGGAAGGAGCTGGGGGGCTGTGTGCTCTCTGGGGCAGATGTGGCAGTTTGTGATGTGCTGGATTCATTCAATGTGGTTGCTGGTAATGCTGTGGAGACTGCTGTGCTCTCTGGAATAGAACTTGTGGTTTCTGTACTGGGAGCAGTTGTCATCCTACTCTTTCCAGCAGTTGTCATGCTTTCTGGAGGAGAGGTAGCTGTTTCTGTTGTGATGGATTCAGACATTGTGGTCTCTAGCAAAGGTGTGGAATATGCTGGCCTCTCCGAAGTGGAACTTGTACTTTCAGTACTAGCAGAAGTAATTGTGCTGCTCTTTTCTGAAATTGTTGTATGTTCTGTTCTCTCCAGAGGAGAGGTGGATGTTTGCTCCGGGGTAGAAAGAAATCCGGAACTGGTTGTGGGAGTGATAGATGGCATACTACTTGATAAAGCAGTGGTAGATGGCACACTACTTGATAAAGCAGAAGCGGTGGTCCTTTGCAAACTGGATGGTGTCATGCTACTCTCTGAAAAAGGTGTAGAGGATACTGTGCTTTTTAGAGCTGGCGTTGTGGTTTTGGAAATAGAAGATGTTATTCTGCTCTTTGCTGATGCCGTAGAAGGCACTGTACTCATTGGAGAGCTGGCTTCTTCTGATGTGATGGATGCAGGTGTGGTGGTGGCCTCTGGAGGAGTAGCTGTGGTGATTGAATGTTGAGCAATGGTTTTTGAAGACCTAGTCGTCTTTATAGAGTTGGAGGTCACTGTGCTCTGTGGGGGAGTAGTGGCTGTCACTGTTGTGGTGGTTTCCAATGTGGTGGTTTGTGGAGAAGTAGTTAAGTATTCCGTGGACATTGGAAGTTGAGTAGTGGTTTTTGTTTTACTAGTACTAATTGTAGAGCTTTCAGGGAAGGGGCTGGGGGGTTGTGTGCTCTCTGGGGCAGATGTGGTAGTTTGTGATGTAGTGGATTCATTCAATGTGGTTGCTGGTAATGCTGTGGAGACTGCTGTGCTCTCTGGAATAGAACTTGTGGTTTCTGTACTGGGAGCAATTGTCATGCTACTCTTTCCAGTAGTTGTAGTGGTTTCTGGAGGAGAGGTAGCTCTTTCTGATGTGATGGATTCAGACATGGTGGTCTCTGGCAACGGTGTGGAGTATGCTGGCCTCTCCGAAGTGGAACCTGTACTTTCAGTACTAGCAGAAGTAATTGTGCTGCTCTTTTCTGAAATTGTTGTATATTCTGTTCTCTCCAGAGGAGAGGTGGATGTTTGCTCCGGAGTAGAAAGAAATCCGGAACTGGTTGTGGAAGTGGTAGATGGTACACTACTTGATAAAGCAGAAGCGGTGGTCCTTGGCAAACTGGATGGCGTCATTCTACTCTCTGAAAAAGGTGTAGAGGATACTGTGCTTTTTAGAGCTGGCGTTGTGGTTTTGGAAATAGAAGATGTTATTCTGCTCTTTGCTGATGCCGTAGAAGGCACTGTACTCATTGGAGAGCTGGCTGCTTCTGATGTGATGGATGCAGGTGTGGTGGTGGCCTCTGGAGGAGTAGCTGTGGTGGTTGAATGTTGAGCAATGGTTTTTGAAGACCTAGTAGTCTTTATAGAGCTGGAGGTCACTGTGCTCTGTGGGGGAGTAGTGGCTGTCACTGTTGTGGTGGTTTCCAATGTGGTGGTTTGTGGAGAAGTAGTTAAGTATTCCGTGGTCATTGGAAGTTGAGTAGTGGTTTTTGTTTTACTAGTATTAATTGTAGAGCTTTCAGGGAAGGAGCTGGGGGGCTGTGTGCTCTCTGGGGCAGATGTGGCAGTTTGTGATGTGGTAGATTCATTCAATGTGGTTGATGGTAATGCTGTGGAGACTGCTGTGCTCTCTGGAATAGAACTTGTGGTTTCTGTACTGGGAGCAGTTGTCATCCTACTCTTTCCAGCAGTTGTAGTGCTTTCTGGAGGAGAAGTAGCTGTTTCTGATGTGATGGATTCAGACATGGTGGTCTCTGGCAACGGTGTGGAATATGCTGACCTCTCCAATGTGGAACCTGTACTTTCAGTACTAGCAGAAGTAATTGTGCTGCTCTTTTCTGAAATTGTTGTATGTTCTGTTCTCTCCAGAGGAGAGGTGGATGTTTGCTCGGGGGTAGAAAGATGTCCGGAACTGGTTGTGGGAGTGGTAGATGGCATACTACTTGATAAAGCAGTGGTAGATGGCACACTACTTGATAAAGCAGAAGCGGTGGTCCTTGGCAAATTGGATTGCGTCATGCTACTCTCTGAAAAAGATGTAGAGGATACTGTGCTCTTTAGAGCTGGTGTTGTGGTTTTGGAAATAGAAGATGTTATTCTGCTCTTTAGTGATGCTGTAGAAGAAACTGTACTCATTGGTGAGCTGGCTGCTTCTGATGTGATGGATGCAGGTGTGGTGGTTGCCTCTGGAGGAGTAGCTGTGGTGATTGAATGTTGAGCAATGTTTTTTGAAGATCTAGTAGTCTTTCTAATGCTGGAGGTCACAGTACTCTGTGGAGGAGAAGTGGCTGTCACTGTTGTGGTTGTTTCCAATGTGGTGGTTTGTGGAGAAGTAGTTAAGTATTCCGTGGTCATTGGAAGTTGAGTAGTGGTTTTTGTTTTACTAGTACTAATTGTAGAGCTTTCAGGGAAGGAGCTGGGGGGCTGTGTGCTCTCTGGGGCAGATGTGGCAGTTTGTGATGTGGTAGATTCATTCAATGTGGTTGCTGGTAATGCTGTGGAGACTGCTGTGCTCTCTGGAATAGAACTTGTGGTTTCTGTACTGGGAGCAGTTGTTATGCTACTCGTTCCAGCAGTTGTAGTGCTTTCTGGAGGAGAGGTAGCTGTTTCTGATGTGATGGATTCAGACATGGTGGTCTCTGGCAACGGTGTGGAATATGCTGGCCTCTCCGAAGTGGAACCTGTACTTTCAGTACTAGCAGAAGTAATTGTGCTGCTCTTTTCTGAATTTGTTGTATGTAGTGTTCTCTCCAGAGGAGAGGTGGATGTTTGTTCGGGGGTAGAAAGAAGTCCGGAACTGGTTGTGGGAGTGGTAGATGGCACACTACTTGATAAAGCAGAAGCGGTGGTCCTTGGCAAACTGGATTGCGTCATGCTACTCTCTGAAAAAGATGTAGAGGATACTGTGCTCTTTAGAGCTGGTGTTGTGGTTTTGGAAATAGAAGATGTTATTGTGCTCTTTAGTGATGCTGTAGAAAAAACTGTACTCATTGGTGAGCTGGCTGCTTCTGATGTGATGGATGCAGGTGTGGTGTTTGCCTCTGGAGGAGTAGCTGTGGTGATTGAATGTTGAGCAATGGTTTTTGAAGACCTAGTAGTCTTTGTAATGCTGGAGGTCACAGTACTCTGTGGGGGAGAAGTGGCTGTCACTGTTGTGGTGGTTTCCAATGTGGTGGTTTGTGGAGAAGTAGTTAAGTATTCCCTGGTTGTTGGAAGTTGAGTAGTGGTTTTTGTTGTACTAGTCCTAATTGTGGAGCTCTCAGGGAAGGAGCTGGGGAGCTGTGTGCTCTCTTGGGAAGATGTGGCAGTTTGTGATGTGGTGGATTCATTCAAGGTGTTCGCTGGGAATTCTGTGGAGACTGCTATGCTCTCTGGAAGAGAACCTGTAGTAGGAGCAGTCATCATGCTACTTTTTCCAGCAGTTGTAGTGCTTTCTGGAGGAGTGGTAGTTTCTGATGTGATGGATTCAGATATGGTGGTCTCTGGCAAAGGTGTGGAGTATGCTATGCTCTGTGGGGGAGAAGTGGCTGTTGCTTTTGTTGTGGTTTCTAACATGGTGGTTTCTGAACTAATAATAGCCATTGTAGAGCTGGCTTTTAAAGATGTGGACTGCGCTCTGCTCTTTATAGGAGATGTGTATACACTAGCTGTTGTCATATTCTCTTTTCCTGTAGTAGTGGAAGATGTTCCAGTTGGTGCTGAAAGGATATAAATAATTGGAGTTAAATTAAGGTGGTATGTAGGACAGAACAAAGGTTATAAACTGCAATTTGTTAATAGAACATAAGATATAGTAAAGTTTTCGTTCTTTTTGTTTGCATGAATGTTTCTTTACTTGTACAATTTGATGCCTTTTACCATGCAGGTCAGTTTCCTAAGTACCAAATTGCTTCCTTCATCAATTTGATTAAATATATTAATCTCCTCTGTATTTGTTTAGGGCATTTATCGGTCTTTCCCTGTCTTATTTTTCTTAGGTACTGATTTTCATGGGTTTAGGCAAAGATATTCAACTATACTTAAAATCGAATATGTTTATTTAGTGGTTGTATGTTTTACCTTTCATTCAAATAGCCTTCCTTCTTCCTATTTTTCACATAAAACTCTATTTGTTATGTTTGAGTAAGGGAGAAGGATTGGCCTAAATTCACCAGAAAGCTTCTTTGGCTGCAGAGGGTTAAGCATTGTACCACATTGTCTCTGAATTTCACCAAAGATGTTAGAAACTGAGAACTTCTGGGTGCAGTGATGTGGTCTATCATTAAGCTAAGGCCTTTTTGCTACAGATAGTCTTCATTTTATAACCTCAATTGGGACCAGTAATTCAATCATTAAGTGAAGCAGCCACTAAGTGAAACCCTGATGATCTTTAACCTTTCCTTGATTTATAGACCTGTGAAGATTGTAAATGCAAGGATTGCTTGCAAAATTACTTTTTCATCCCATCAAAACTACAAAGGGTCCTAAATAAGGCAGTTATTAAACAAGGATTATCCTTATAAAAGTCCTAAATAAAGGGCAAAACCCCACAATCACCTTACAATATATTCCTTCACTTCTTTGCTCAACAGAAAAGTACACCAGCATAAATTACATTGCCTGATGGCTGAGCCCAGTTCTTTCTTAGCAGTAGGGCTGGGAAGGGGTATTGCCCTTACAATTCTAATTCAGGACAAGATAAGGGCCTCAAATAGTGAATTCCTTTGAATATGTTTCCTTTCCCTCCCCTCTCAGCAACACTGGAATCGAATGACTTGGGGATGGGGTACTGGGATGGGAGATTCACCCACCTTTCAAATTGCCCAAGTATGTCCCTCCTGTTTCAACCAATACCTCCTCCCCACACTCACTAGCATGTCCATTGATTACTTTTGGATACAGGTGTTAGTCCTTCAAGGTTGGTCAGGTCAGGAAATTAGACTACTGGACTCTGCTTTATTGTTATTGGGTATACTGGCAAGTTTCCTCTGTCATTTCTTGTAACATGGCTTTACTTTAAATCTTTTTTAGGCTCTCTTCTTTCTCAGAGCTGAAATTTTGGGGGGGGGGGAATGATGTGCCTTTAAGTCGTTATTGATTTCTGGTGACCGCCTGGACCAGTTCCTGTAAGCTTCTTGGCACTACTGTATTTTCAGAAATGATTTGTCCTTGCCTTTTTCTTTCTAGGGCTAAGAGAGAGAGAGGCTGACCCAAACTCACCCAGCTACCTGCATGCCTAAGACAGGATTAGAACCCAGGATCCTGGCAATTGCTCCTAGCTTGTTGCCTTAACCACTACACCAATTTAGTTCTTGAGATTTCATTTAAAGTCTCTTTTATCAGTTAAAAGTTGTTGGTTTTGCCCTTGTTTTCTGCCTCCCTCTACACCAGATTCAGCATTCTTCCAAAAGAGTTCATAAATAACACATGTTTCAGGTCCCTTTGCCATATAACTGTGCTTGTGACCTGGGACAGAACTCTTGTAACCTTTATCCCTGCTCCCAATTATCTTACATAGATCAGACAAATACCAGTGCTGGCAGTGAATAGTCATGGCTAGCAGCATCTAGTAGTATTCTGTGGGTAGGTGAGATAATATCCCCCCCTCTGCCCCAATTAAAGCAAAAACAGAAATAAAACAAATCAATCTACAATGTAGACTCGTGCTCTCTCTAGTCTAGGGAGTGGGGAATACCACTTGTGTTTTCTTACAGAAAGGTCTACTATCCTTCCTTGTTTTTTTAAAAAACAGAGCTAGTATTCTTTGAAAGGCAAACTAATCTGGAAATGCCAGACTGGCATTTTCCAAAGCACAGGGTCAGGCATTACGCAGGTTGATGTCACTGTGGAAGCCAGGTGTTTGGTTTGTCCTGCAGTTGAAGCCAAAAGGGCCAGGGAGGGCAGTTGCCAGTGGCCTAGGAAAGATGACATGCCCACAACATCCTCACATGAGCAATAGGTGCTGCCCAGATTACCTAAATAGGTTATCACCAACTTTATCAATGAATCACTATAAATCATTCATATATTGAGAGTGGTGTTGGAAGAAGAGGAGAGACACTACTTTAAAACTGCTTCTAAAGATGAATTAATCTGCCTCTGCAGCAGGTGAAAATGAAATGCTAAGATGAAAACAATATTTGAGCTGCCCAGGGTCATTTGTGGAGATGGGCAGCTATAGAAATCAAACAACAAAGAAATAAAATGTCATGGAGACATAACCTTGTAAGATAATGAAGGGAGCATAGTTGTTCTATGGGAGAATGAGTCTTCGTTCACATTATTGGCTTGTCACTATTGGTGGCACACAACAATGTCTTTTCCAATCTGATGCATTGAATTCTACAATTAGTGGAAAAATAGTAGATAACCCTTTGACTGCTTACATGCCCTGTGAGCTATATCACTGAGATATAAGGGCTCTGGATAAAGATTTATTTCAACTTAAATGATTGCTCCAAACAGCCCACTGCTCTCTGTTCCAAGGTATGGATGCCAATCTATCTGCAGCTCCCCTAAGTGGTATCTGCTGAACTTCCATGTTACTTAGTTATAATTTAATTTAATAATTCGAGCATGACCATGAGATCAGCAGAGCTTGTAAGGTTTTGAAGATCTCACACAAGAACCCATGAGATAGCAAAGCAAAGTCTCGTTGTTACAAGAGATTATGTGAAAATTCAGCATTCTCACATGAAAGCATGGTGCAAATTGCAATGACATGAAAGTGGTGTAACGTATGCCAACATGCCACAATGCAAACCTAACCCTTTTGGGACACAAATGCCTAAGTCACAGAATTTGTTTGTATTTTCATGACCCATATTTTGTTTTGCCTCTTTTCTTCTCTCATGGATGCCTATATATGAGAAGAAAAACCTGGCAATCTCTCAAAATTCAGGGCATTTTTAAAAAGTTTATTCTTATTTTCGGTGAGATGCTTCCTAGTGTATAAAAAGTTACTTTCTCCGGCTTTGCAGGAAAGCAGAGAAGGGTGTGTTTCATCATGCATTGTTTGATTACTTAAAATTGGGATTTTCTGCCTGCCAAACCTGTCCTTACTCTGAGCCATAAAACCTACTCTAAACACAATATCTTGCATTCACGTTCTATGCTTAACCTGTTTTTTGCATTGTTTAATTTTCTGGTTTCACACACCCCTGAACCATAAATATTAAAGTGTCTAAGCTTACATGCCACGCTATACCATATACATGTACATATGCATACATATATACTGTACATACATACACACAGACACACATAAATACAAAATAGTACAGTATGGTTACGTTATGTGATATAAACAAAGCTGTATGGTACATTTATGTTAGGCTTGCTCCCATCTCATTGGGAGGTCGCCAATCTTCTTCAGACAGGGAGCCATACTTGGGCTTTTGACAGCGAAGTTTGAAAGAGCAAAATTGATATCCTTAAATGAGGAAAAGTTGCCCTGATTATGTGGGGAGGGTGATTAATGAGTGCCATCTAGCCACCTCACAGACGGACTACTGCAATGTACTATGAAGGGAGCTGCTATCTTAAAGACCAATGAGAAGCTAAACCTGGTCTAGAATGCATCAATGTGGGCACTTATGAGCAGGCTGTGATATGTCTATGTGTCATGCTGCCATTATTGATCAGTGAATCACTGCAGTTGTTGAATGAATCATTTGGTTGTTAAGAGAATCCAACGTCCCCCATTGATTTTGCTCGTCAGAAGCCAGCTGGGAAGATTGCAAATGGTAATCACGTGACCCTGGGACACTGCAGTCATTGTACTAAATGTGAAGTAGCAGAAATTTGATCATGTGACCGTGGGGATGCTGCAACAGTTGTAAGAGAACAATAAGTTCTTTTTTCAGTGCTGTTGCAACTTGGAATGGCTGCTAAACAAATCGTTGTTAGCCAAGAACTGCCTGTATAATAAGTCTGGGCATAGTTTGCTTAGGGCAGAAGCCATTAGACCACTGGATTAGCACAATTTAGAAAGGATTCTTGGATGAAATTTTCTTGGAGCCTAATTCAATCCTCAATCAGATATTTAACTGAATCTTCTTCTCCTGTATTGATGGCTTCCTTTTGTTTGATCACATTCTGTCCTATAATATTAGCTGCAGGATATGGAGATTATCCCTACAACAAAGTGTCACTTCTTTCTTAATCCTGCAGTATGGCAGTAAAAAAAAGGGAGGGGGGGTTTCATCCTGAATTCCCTTTTTCCCCCTTGGTAAAAAAAATCATTTCACTTCTGTCATCCAGAGATGGATGTCAGCTTTGGTTTCTCTCATTTTCCAAAAAGTTCTGTATAGATTGTGATGTGAAAAGGGACACTCCCATGGGACTATCCCATCAGCCAAAGCATTAGTAAATATATTCCAGTTTCTTTCATTAGCTATTTGCCTACGATCAGATCTGTTAAGTTAAAAAAATGTGCTTTTTTAAAAAAAACTTAATCAGTTCTGTGGTCTGAAAAAGTCTGAAAACCTGTTCTATAGGACTAGGCTGGAGATTAGGAAAAGAGACTGGAATTAAAGAAAAAAGCTATTCAATGGATAATGTTATTCACAAAATAGATTGGCCTGGTAGGTGGATCAGCTATTCAACTAAACATTTTTAAATGGAAGTTGGACTGCCCAATGTCAAAGATGCTGAAGATGTGAGATACCTGCATTCAGCAAGGAGAAGGAATATAAGGACTTCAAAATCTCTTCTGATG